CCTGGTTCAGTCCTGGTTCAGACCTCGTTCAAACCTGGTTCCGACCTGGTTCACTCCTGGCTCAAACCTGGTGCAGTCCCGGTTCAGACCTGGTTTTGACGTGAGTCCCCGTGACAGTCCTAAAGGGCAGAACTGGGATCGATGTGAGTCCGAGGTCTAAAGCACAGACTCCATCACAGCGCTGTGCTCCTAATGCATACAAATCACTGGACTACAAACAAGATGGCTGCCGATCGATCCTGTCGCTCTGTCATGTACTTTTAATGGAACTACACTCACAAAATCACAACGAGCTAAAGTTTGAACTCTTTTCTTCAACTTTTACACTCAAACCACTTCCTGATTGGTGTGAAACTATAATCTATATTAGCATCACACCAAATAATATTAAAATTGGAGCTTATTCAAACCATGTCATAAGCACTTTGTATATCAGGTGCTGGTGCTGACGCTGCGGGTCGATTGAGGCCTGTCACTCCAACAAAGACACAAAACATTGAACGCTGCTGAAGAGAGAAAAGAGAGAAGTTGGTGAAAAGAGGAGAGAGCAGAGAAAGCAGCAGCTGATTGGTCTTTGTTTATTGTGTCAGACGGACAAAGTTTCAGTGACCTTTAGGCCCTGTCCACACGAAGTCAAGCTCAGGCCTAAACGCAAAAATACTTTATCAATCCAGTGTATCGTCCATACGAGGCCGGCGTTTTGGGGGGGTGTAAACGAACATTTTTGAAAGTAGGTCCCAGAGTGGAAAGATTTCAAAACTCCGTATATGCCGCTCCGTGGTTACTGCCTCTCCGCAATGTATCTGAGACGCTTGCGTCATCGCCCCGCCTCTTGTTAAAGCACGCATGCGCCGCACTCAGAAAATAATGACAACAACAATGTAGCTTGTTGGTTTTGTAATCCAGTGCGACCCGAAGCAACAGTTCAACCTCATCGTCCGTCCATACTAATGTAGTACCAGCTCGCCCACTCGCCATGTTGTCTGTTTACAAAATTCTGTGCATGCCCAGTTCCCGTCACGGAAGTTTGGGCTTGATCCCGTCATTGCGTCACAGCGCCACCAACAGGTCTGGCATAGTTTCACAGCGTTTTCAGGCGTATTGACTACATTCATATGGACGCACACATTTACTGAGCTAACTCCGTGTTTACAGAAAAAGTTTCTGAAATTATACGCGTTTTGTCTTCGTGTGGATATAGCCTTAGTCAATCTAAATCTCCCCGCTCTGATAAACACCTGCTCAGACTGGAGATGGACCCACGAGACGTTTACATGCTCTGAGGATTGTGCAGAGGCGCCCAGAGGGGTTCCAGGACCTCTCTGGGGCCTCCTCCAGTGGGACAGGCCCGAACACCTCCCAGGGAGATTTTCACACTGTACAAAAATGATATGATGGTATAAATGTATAAATAAGGTGTTTTTTATCTCCTTATCCTGCACTATATGTATATAACTGTACTATATATAGAGATAGAGAGATTGATATTGAGCATTTCCCGCTATAGCTAAGAAACCAAACAGCTATTTATTATATATTTTGTGTGCTACCTGTTGTGCTCTTACTACTGTCCTGTATGTGCGCCGCAACATTGAAATTTCCCCAGTGTGGGACGATTAAAGGATCTCTTTTCTTATCTTGAATTGAGAAAATGTTCACTGTCTTAAAACTTTACCAGAGGGACTAACGGTTTAGTCTTTAGTGTGTGTGTGTGTATTTATTGATTGATTATTTCAAGTGCAGTTGCAATGCATTTTTAACATTTACATTTTTATTATATATCTGAGGCACGTTTACAGGAAGGAGCAGCGTCTCTACCCTGATCTCTCCTAGCGTGACTGCTACTGACCCTATTTGTCGTTGTTAAACACCCAAGGCCTCATTTATGGAGCATTTTCTTTGTGCAGAAGTGATAATCACACCTTAAAATGGGAACAAACTGATACACATGTCTCATAGATACACATGTCTCATAGAACTACACTGAGAAAATTGCCAAACTATTTTAGTTTGCAGCTGCAGTTTAAGCACCTGGATTGATAAATGAGACCCTTAAGGTGTTTGGGAAAGATAAACATACTTTCTCTACTTCTCTATTTGTCACACTGAAACATATACTTTTAACATTGTACAGAGAGAGAGAATGAACATATGTTTACACATTCGTTAGACACCGGCTCGCTGTCATGGTGTGGATTTTATTTTGTAATTGGCTTTATTTTGACATTAGTTTTCATTTTTTGTTTTACTTCCTGTCCTGTTCCCGTTTGATTGTCTGCCCCGCCTTAATGTCTTTCCCCTGCCTTTGTCTCAATGTACCTGTGCTCTCCTGTGTCTCTGTCTATATGTACCTGTGCTCACCTGTGTCTCTGTCTGTATGTACCTGTGCTCACCTCTGTCTCTGTGTACCCTGTGCTCACCTGTGTTTCTGTCTATATATACTGTACCTGTGCTCTCATGTGTCTCAGTCTACATGCACCTGTGCTCACCTGTACCATGTGTCCATTGTCTTTGCTTGTCTTTGTCTGTCTGTTTTCTGGTTTCTGTGTTTAGGTTGGATTTTCAGTTGTTTTTTTCCGTGGACTTTATCTTTATCCTCTTCATTAAATCATTATTTTGAATTTCTGCACTTTTGGGTCCTCATTCACTTCACCTCATGACGCCCTCCCTCCCTCCTTCCTGATTAGACAAAATTGATTCAAATGCTTACATAACAGGCAAAAAAAATTCTCATTGGTTCAACTATTCTGAAATAAATAACATTGGTACAGGTTGTTACAAAGTGAGGGACTACTTTGCTCTGTCAGTCTGTCCAAAATCCATCTTTCCAGGTAAAAGGCAAATGGTGAAGATCAAAAAAGTCACTCGTGGTCAATAGTTTAGAAAGTTTAAAAAGCCTTTATTTTCCTCATGGCTGTAGATTAAAATACGCACCAACACGTTTCAGCCTTGCTTGGCCTTCTTCAGGGTGCAAAATCCTGGAAGTATTGATATTGCTGCATTTTAAAGGACACATTCACTTTTATGCAAAATGGATTTATTGATTTTTAACCATGTCACAACAATGTTCTCATCAAAATCCAGTTGTTTTAGCTCGATCCACGTTATCATCAAACTTGTCGACTCGCTCCCCACAAAAAATGCCCTGTTGTGATTCCATCTTTTATGTCACAGAACTCAGACACTGACTTGGACAAAAACAGCAGTTGCCAGTCGCCTTTTGGACAAGGTCGTCTGTACTGAGAATTTTATTATTACAATGACAAATTAGTACTGTTTTTCTTTGGCTTTGATTATTATTAAAAATGTTCATGTTTAATCGATTGCAGATTTAAAAAAATATCCACAGCGGGCAAAAGAAAAAACACACCGACAACTTTCATATTTTCAAACAAGAACTCAAATGTTTTGTGCTTTTGCTTGCCATGACTGTGATATTGTTTTAACTGTCCTGGTTCGAATATGGTTTAGTCAATGGTGTAGTCCCGGCTAAAACCTGGTTGGTTCAGTCCCTGGTCCCATCCCTGATTCAGTCCCTGGTTCAGTCCCCGGTTCAGTCATGGTTCGGTCCCTGGTTCAGTCCCTAGTCCAGTCCTGGTTCGGTCCCTGTTTTCAGTCCCTGGTTCAGTCCCTGGTCCCATCCCTTGTTCAGTCCCTGGGTCATTCCCTGGTTCAGTCCCCGTTCCAGTCCTGGTTTGGTTTCTGGTTCAGTTGGAGGTCCAGTCCTGGTTCAGTCCCAGGTAAAGTCCCTGGTCCCATTCCTTGTTTAGTCCCTGGTTCAGTCTTGGCTAAAAACTAGGTTCAGTCCCTGGTCCCATCCCTGGTCCAGTCCTGATTCAGCCCCTAGCTCAGTCCTGGTCCAGGTCTGGTTCAGTCCTAATTCAACCCTTCTCTCTTCAAATATTCCTTGTTATGTTTTTAGTCTCAGTTATAGTTTTTTGCAGGTCCTGGTGACTGACAGCTGACGTCGGAGCCTTTTCTTCAGAGATCGATCGAGCGTTTGCATAAAGTCATGAATCTGTGAGACACGAGCGGATCCATCAGCCAGACCAGGACCAGACCAGGACTGAAGCAGGACCAAACCAGGGACGCTAGATTCAAATGTTTAGATATTTAGAACTTTTTCATCCTAACTTTGATAAAGCTGAAGTTCAAACATGACGTCAAATAGTAATTGCACAAAAGTCATCAAACTAGGAAAAACTAGTGTGTTTTGTGAAAAGTACAACCTGTTCTCGATGACATTATGGTAGAATGGGAAAAAAGTGTTTCAGAATTAATTTCAAAACAGTTACACCATTATCCAGAGAGCAGAATGAGGCTGTCATTTTGGCGGCCGGTTTGTTAGGAGTTTTGGCTTTTTAGATCTTTTTTTAAATTATTTTTTAAGAGTGCAATTCACAGGCATAACAATAGCACCACATGTGTTCAGACACAGAAGTAAGAAGTCATAAGTAATACACTTTAGCTCAACCCCAGCTGGTGGATTGCATCAGTAATCAGTATTTAGGAGCTACAGGTGTCAAAGTAATGGATTTAATAGACCACAAAGCGTGCATAATACACACTGTCCCTTTTTTCGTCAAAACACGACCTGTTAAAACTCTGTCTCTGCACATTCATGTTTTGGAGTTAGCATTGAGCCACTGTCGATAGCTTGATGGATACAGCCGTGCTAGCATTAAAGTGAGACTAAAGCAGGGGCTACAGATGGACTAAGACACAGAACCCAGCCTGTTGTTTCAGTCACAACAGAAACTACAAAAACAAGAAACTCTCCTCTTCGACTTTTGTCACAGACTCTGAATAAAAAGGTCCTTCTCTGTCAGTCTCCCATCCTCCCTGTGACACCCCCCTCCCCCCTGCGCTCGGATGACACCTCCTGGATCTTGCAGGAGACATTTTGGACAGGCCGCGGTGTTTTTTTAAGGAGCTGCTTCTTTAAAACAACATTGATCTTGTCGCGAACGGCGTCCTGTCCGCAGATAACGATTATTCAGATGCATGCGTCGACCTTTGGACCTCCCCCGAGACCTGGACTCTGCTTAGTCCGGCCTTTTGTGTCCTTTCAGCCGTCAATCACCTCATCCTGGATAGAGGGGAGCTGGGGCTGGCCGGGTTTGGTGCTCACGGAGGCCTATAGGTTTGTCCAGGGTAGGCTGGGTTCCATAAGATAAGGTTCCATAAGAGTGCAACTGTAGTCCTGGTTCTGTCCTTTTTAGTCCTGCTCCAGTCCTGGTTCAGTTCAGTCCCGGTTCAGTTCTGGATTCAGGTGTGTTTAAACAGTAATAGTTGAACACAGCTGCGTGGTGTATTGTGTCCCGTCAAACTTATATGAGTATTTTTGGACCCGCCACTGTGGACTTTTGAATGCACTCGTAAGCGGCCATTTTGAATCTGCCCATGTCTGTGGCACAAACATTTAATGGAGGAAATAGGCCTCATTATGTCCGTCAATATTTACATTCTATGGTAAAAAGGGCATGAGTAAATGTAAAAATCGTATAAATTAATTGCTTTTAATGAATCTCTAAAATATAAATTAAAGGTGCGGTAAGCGATTGTGTTAGCTTAGCCGTAGCACCAACTTGAAACCATTCCCCGCTCCTCTCGCCTGTCCACCAAACCAAACATCCAGCATTTTCTTTTCTTTGTCACAGAGAGAGTGGGTGGAAAACGTGAAATTGGTATTTTCTGTTCAGCCCTTTTAGGTTTTAGAAAATCCGATAACTCAGATGCGCCCTAAGAGGGTGAAGGGGGTAAACAAATCGCATTGGTTTATTTTTATCGGTCCGCTCCAAAATATTTTTTATTATTTTTTGGAGACTGGTCAATTCCATTACTATTTGAAGACACATAACTTAGGGTTTAGGGACGTTTTCCCACAATACATTTAAAAATGCGTCTGGAAAAAATCACTGCCTGCATCTTTAACATCAGCCTGTCCCACACACTCTGTTCTGCGGCCGCCTCCAAACTTCAGATGAAACCTTTTATTTCTTTCTCCAACAGAAAATGAACTGGTCCCGTGTCCACTCTGCGCTGGAATGAGCCGTTAGCTTGTTGTCATCAGGCCCGTGACAAACGAGCGCATTACCGTTCCTCCACCCCCCCGGCCGCGGGCCTCTCCCCCGGCGGCGCGGCTCGGGCAGCTCCCGGTGACAGCGGGAGTAATGGGGGAACACGGAGAGCCTTGTATTAGCGGCTTATCTGCGTCTGTGGATCCGTGCGGCCACTGTACGCCCTGATATGATGAATATGTGAGGCGCTATCGGACCCACCGCCTCACACCGGACCACAGATCTCAGATAGACTCGAATTAACCTCTGTACGATACACACACACACATATGGAGACACATACACACACTTATGGAGACACACACACACACACACACACACACACACACATATGGAGACACACAAACACACATATTGAGACACAGCTATACACACACTGTACTAAATACACACACACATACAGAGACACTCATATACACGGATGGAGACACACAAATACACACATACAGAGACGCACACACACGGGTAGAGACACATATACACACATACAGAGACGCGCACACACGGATAGAGACACACATATACACACATACAGAGACACACACATAGAGACACACATATACACACATACAGAGACGCGCACACACACTTAGAGACACACATACACACGCCTGCTCCCATCTACAATCACTGCCTGGATGTAAAAATATCTGATTGATAAATTGAAGTGATGAAGATAAACAAATTGACAAAACACACAAAAATTTTTACTATGAAAACAAATCCATCTCACTGGTTCCTCGCTCTCAAAACACATATACACATATATCACTATTGGTTGCCTCTGTCACATCTTTAGATCACCTTTTTATTGACAAACAGGAAAAAGAGAAGACCACCCCCTCAGCCAATCAGCTCTCAGTTCAAAGTGCTCTCTTTTACCTTGTATTGTCCAATTTGTTCACAAAATTTTTATTTTCCAAATCCCATTCTGTTGGACAAACATGTAAAGTACTCCATCTGGAATTTCAGGCAAGAGTCTCTATGTGGTGTAATATAAAAGCACTTTAGGCATTTAGCATTTATCCTAGCTTTAGCCATCTCCTTTGTCACTAACGGAGCCTGTTGGGAATAAAGCCACAACATCTTTGCCAGCAATGAAATCTGCTAAACATTCCTCTTGTTCCGGCTTCACTTTCTTGAAATTTGGAGCTGAACCAGAACGGATTGATGAGCCTTGTTTTAGTATCACATTCACCGCCATTGCCAAAGTCCAACCAGGAAATTTCGGTGCAAACTCTTGACGTCACGACACCCGCCTCCCCCGATCGCTGAATGGTCGGAGGGGATTCAACTGAGGTAACTGCAGCCACTAGGATCAGACCCAGACGTACATGTAGGAAATGATAATTGACCCGACCCAACATGGTTCAAGTCCCTGGTGTAGTCCTGGCTAAAACCTGGTTGGTTCAATCCCTAATTCAGTCACTGGTCCCATCCACTCATCCCTGGTCTCATTCCTGGTTCAGTCCCTGGTTCAGTCCCTAATTCAGTCCCTGGTCACATCCCTGGTCCCATCCACCCATCCCTGGTTCCATTCCTAAATCAGTCCCTACTGACAAACTGGTGAGGAGCAACTTGCCCCCTCAAAAATCGACCGCCTTCTCCTTCAAAAAACCAGCCGGTACTTTTATGTGTGGTTCCTGTAAACATTGCCCACAGATTAATCGGAGCACTACATTTACCGATGCTAAAAAGGAGAAGACCTTTAAAAGCCTTAGCTTTGCTAACTGCAACTCAACATATGTGGTGTACAGAATTGACTGTGAATGTGGTGGCTTTTATGTGGGACGTACCAAGAGAAAGCTGAAAGAGAGGTTTGCAGAACATAAATATGCAATCAGAACTCAGAATCTGGATTATCCGCTGGCCAAACATTTTAAAACTATGGGCCATATCAACATCAATGGACTCAAAATCATGGTCATAGAGACAATCAAAATGGACCTCAGGGGAGGAGATAAACTCAAAAAACTGCTCCAGAGGGAGACATACTGGATAGATACGCTTGGAGCTATGCATCACCCTGGACTAAATGAGGAACTAGACTTTACCCCATTTTTGTAGTTTTTTGTAGTTGTTTGGAATAATGTGTTATGGACAGTGGTTTTGTGATCCGGTTTGAAAATGTATACTGATGAGAATATAAACTGGCATTTCACTGCTCTTGTTATATCAGTGTTTTACAGTTGGTGCCTTCATCTATATCCTCGCTCGCTCTTCTTTTCCTGTGGCGCTTTGTGCGTATGTGTCTGAATGTATAGCTCCATGTATTTATACATAGTTTTTTCACTATGATCGAGTCACACTGGTGTTTTTTGTTTCACAAAAATGTTCTGTCAAATTTTCTGTCACATGTTCTTCCTGTCATGTGACAGCCTTGCTTTTAAAAGAGGTTCACCTGCTGGTGATTATTTATGCCCTGACGAAGACCGCTGTTGGTCGAAACGCGTAGGCAGTCCAATTCATTAAAGGACTTTTAATTTTTTCACCAAAACAGAGTGCCTCAGACTACCTTTGTTCTCTTCTGACTTTCTACATGCTTAAGATTGCCCCGTCTTCGAAGAGCACCTGTTTTTATTGCCTTCTACCACACGTACCCTCTGCAGCACTCGCCGGACCCATGTAGTTCGCTGCACTTCACACATGCGGTTCAGCCAAACGCCTCTGGTGGAGCATGGTGGAACTACAAGGATCTGGCGAGAGTCAGGCTAGGTTCAACCCTTCTCTCTTCAAATATTCCTTGTTATGTTTTTAGTCTCAGTTATAGTTTTTTGCAGGTCCTGGTGACTGACAGCTGACGTCGGAGCCTTTTCTTCAAAGATCGATCGAGCGTTTGCATAAAGTCATGAATCTGTGAGACACGAGCCAATCCATCAGCCAGACCAGGACTGAATCAGGATCAAACCAGGGTTTACATAGCCATCTGTACTAAAAAAAAAACAAAGAAGCCAAAGAAAACATAAACCAGGACTGTTTTAGGAAAAATCCAGACAATTCCAGACGGTTGTAATAGGTTCCTTTATTAAACGTAAAGCTTTTTTGAACAAGTGCAAAAACATGAGAGAAAAGGTGAAATTTAAATAAAATTCTGAATTCCAACAATCAAAGAAAAATCCAGTTCAGAAGATTCAGCCCACTTTGATTTGTGGAAAACACTTTTATAAAAATCAACAAAAAATATTCACTGATCAACAGGAAAGAATCAATAAATAATAAAAAGAATGATTAAAATGGACGGGACAAAAGTAGAAAAGATCAAAAGGTCGTCTTTGAGAAAAACTATGAACGCTGCTTCATCAAGAGGAAGACTCCGGTGTTCAACAGTAGTTTGTTTCAAAATCCAAGGTTTTCTGTGAATTTGAGTCTAAAAATAAAAAAATCACACTTCCACACATACCACACAAAAAAATGGCTTATTGAAAATATTATCTGCACAATCACATATCATATTTTCAAATTATTTTAAATGCAATATTTTATACTCATTTCCAGTATTTTCTTGATTATTTACTATATTAATTGCCTTAGAAACTATTTTTTTCTTAGGCAAAATGTTTATTGTAACGAGTCAGAAATAGAAAATTTTATGGAATTGAGTGAAAATACATTCATAATGATCTCCTGAAGTAATCTTCAACTTTAACTTGATATAAAACTGTAAGGAAAACATGCATTGAATATGGATAAAGGCAAATGAAACTTTATTATCTATCTATAATGCACGGAGCGTCTGTCGATGGCTCACATTTTTCACTGACTGTCAGACCGACCTAAGCTTTCGGATGTTTAGGTGATTCATTTTACTAAGTCCTATGTGTAATCAACGCTATTTCCCATTAAAGTAAAAGCCACCAGTATTAAATGAATCCAAGGCGTTCAAAAAGTTGGACTCAAAGAGGACGGAGTGTTGCCTTCTCTCTGCGATCATTAGCAACGGAAATAATAATAAAAACAGCCCCTTTCCAGGAAACTGTGAGGATACAGAGGATTGTGGGAAATGTAGTCCTTCAGAGCTGTGCGAGGCAGAAGCAGGGGCAAGAGGATTGTGGGAAATGTAGTCCTTCAGCGAGGCTGTGCGAGGCTGAAGCAGGGGCAAGGGGATTGTGGGAAATGTAGTCCTTCAGAGCTGTGAAAGGCTGAAGCAGGAGCAAGGGGATTGTGGGAAATGCAGTCCTTCAGAGCTGTGCCAGGCTGGGACTGGGGGATTCTGGGAAATACGTTCCTTCAGAGGAGCTGTGCGAGCCGGGAACAGGAGGATTGTGGGTAAAGCAATCCCTTATCTGTGACAAAAGGCTTGTTTGAGATGATGATAGAGTTTGCAACACTTCAAGGATGTGAAAGTACTAATTAGCAAAACACCTGCAGGTATAGTAGAATCACTTATTCTCCTAGTGGTTTCGAAACATTGCATTCAAAAGTTACTAAAATTACTCACAGGCCTACACCTGATATTTTTTGACAAAATAAAACAAACACAGGTTTGTCGTAAAGCTCTTTGTGTAAAAAAACGGAAGAAATAAAATAACTGTAGAGGAAAATTTTGTTGTTTAGGTGCTAGTTCTTGTTGTTGGGCTCATTCTCTCTGTCGGCTCCACGTTCAGCTCATACACTGCCCAGATCTGAGCTTCAGCACTTTCACAGACTCTGGGTTGAACAAGGTCTCATGAGGTAAAGGACATATTCATGGCTTTCAAACTTGGGTTGATATAAGAACCTGGTGAGAAAATAAAAGACATCATATTTTCGGACTGGTGTGAAAAGAGCTTTTAAACTCTGCTGGTGTACATTAAGTTATAGGAACGACCTCGGCTGCTGCAAACTATGAATGGAACTAATAAGAACCAATGTGGTGAATAAAATGTGCAAATGTGATGAGAGCAGAACATTCATCTGTGCAGCTCATCTCAAACAGGCCTCGCAGTGAAACAGAGGGGGTTGTGGGTCATGTAGTCTTTCAGAGTGACGTGGGTCTGCAGCGGAGACAGGAGGATTGTGGAAGTTGCGGTTCATTCTGGAATCTTGAAGCAGCAGTTGAGATGACAGGTGCATCGTGGGTAGTGTAGTCTATGAGATGGCCTTGGCTTCAGGTAAAAAGGCCTCCCAGTATTTAATCATCTGCAGCAAAAGAAAATCAATAAAGACAGATTCTGCAAATATGCACAAAATGTAAATTAATGTTTTATCAATGGGACACACACACACACACGCACACACACACACCTGTTGTTGCGACAGCAGCAGTGTTTCCAGATATTTAACGATAATCTCTTTAAAATCCTTCACTCGGTCTTTCTGCAAAAGGAATGTGAAAATATCTTTAAACATTTGACACAAATTTAGGAAAATATGTATAACACTCTAAGTTAAAGATGATCATATTATTGTCCCACAGTGGAGACAATTCTTGCCCTGGAATATAGCACCAGATGATTAAAAAAGATAATACATAAATACTAAAATAAACAGGATATTCAAACTTATACATAAAGAAAAGAAAGTATGGTGTTTGTGTCTGTCATTTGGGTTTCCATGGAAATGATGAAATCCAGTGGGTCTGTTTATATAATACTAAAACTCAAGCTTTCGTCCTGGTGGAGGTCAGATTTTGGCTAAAAACACTTCTAATGAAATATTAGTTTTCTTTCACACAGAGGAACATTCCATCAGGAAGGTCGTACTGTACTCTTTAAAGGGAAGACGGACTGAGAACTCTCAAATCCAGGATCTCACCTCGAACCGCGACACTTCTTTGCGGATGGTTTTTGAGATCTGCTCAAAGTCCCGCTCGCCCTGAGACACCTTCAGCTCCAACTGAGACACAACAGAGACCACAACGTCACACAACTCATGTTATCACAACTATTGCTAAAGTTATCACAACTATTGCTAAAGTTATCACAACTATTGCTAAAGTTATCACAGCATATTAGGAGTAAACGTTTCCTATTAGCTATTAGCAAACAATCCCAACCTGAGAGAAAACATTTTGGACCTTAAAATGTTGCATTTAATTATTTCGGTTTTTGTGGTCTGCAACTTCATGATCAAATTCAGCAAAAGCATTTTTCAGTGTCATAAATTCTGATGAAACCAATTAAAGCTAAGCTACTTATAGCAAAGAAAATGGGGAAAAAAGACATATGCAAATAAAACACAAGAATGTACTTCCACAAATGAGTTGATGTAAAGTGTAAAACCAAAATCAGGAGGAAGATTTAAAGCCTCACTGCGTATCATTTCAGCCAATAAACATCAGACAGAAACAGCATCAGAATGACATTATAGAGACTTATAGACTTATTCAGCCTCAGTCCTGGATCTACAGCCTCAGTCCTGGATCTACAGCCTCAGTCCTGGATCTACAGCCTCAGTCCTGGATCTACAGCCTGAGTCCTGGATCTACAGCCTGAGTCCTGGATCTACAGCCTGAGTTCTGGATCTACAGCCTCAGTCCTGGATCTACAGCCTGAGTTCTGGATCTACAGCCTCAGTCCTGGATCTACAGCCTGAGTTCTGGATCTACAGCCTCAGTCCTGGATCTACAGCCTCAGTCCTGGATCTACAGCCTGAGTCCTGGATCTACAGCCTGAGTCCTGGATCTACAGCCTCAGTCCTGGATCTTACAGCCTGAGTTCTGGATCTACAGCCTCAGTCCTGGATCTACAGCCTCAGTCCTGGATCTACAGCCTCAGTCCTGGATCTACAGCCTCAGTCCTGGATCTACAGCCTGAGTCCTGGATCTACAGCCTGAGTTCTGGATCTACAGCCTCAGTCCTGGATCTTACAGCCTGAGTTCTGGATCTACAGCCTCAGTCTTGGATCTACAGCCTCAGTCCTCGATCTTACAGCCTGAGTCCTGGTTCAACAGCCTCAGTCCTGGATCTACAGCCTCAGTCCTGGATCTAAAGCCTCAGTCCTGGATCTACAGACTCAGTCCTGGATCTACAGCCTCAGTCCTGGATCTACAGCCTCAGTCCTCGATCTTACAGCCTGAGTCCTGGTTCAACAGCCTCAGTCCTGGATCTACAGCCTCAGTCCTGGATCTACAGCCTCAGTCCTGGATCTACAGCCTCAGTCCTGGATCTACAGCCTCAGTCCTGGATCTACAGCCTGAGTCCTGGATCTACAGCCTGAGTTCTGGATCTACAGCCTCAGTCCTGGATCTTACAGCCTGAGTTCTGGATCTACAGCCTCAGTCCTGGATCTACAGCCTCAGTCCTGGATCTACAGCCTCAGTCCTGGATCTACAGCCTCAGTCCTGGATCTACAGCCTGAGTCCTGGATCTACAGCCTGAGTTCTGGATCTACAGCCTCAGTCCTGGATCTTACAGCCTGAGTTCTGGATCTACAGCCTCAGTCTTGGATCTACAGCCTCAGTCCTCGATCTTACAGCCTGAGTCCTGGTTCAACAGCCTCAGTCCTGGATCTACAGCCTCAGTCCTGGATCTAAAGCCTCAGTCCTGGATCTACAGACTCAGTCCTGGATCTACAGCCTCAGTCCTCGATCTTACAGCCTGAGTCCTGGTTCAACAGCCTCAGTCCTGGATCTACAGCCTCAGTCCTGGATCTACAGACTCAGTCCTGGATCTACAGCCTCAGTCCTGGATCTACAGACCGAGTCCTGTCCTTAGTGGATAATAATAGACCTTTTGTCACATTTTTTCTCACTATGTTTCTTGAGTCGTTCCTTGCCGAAGCAGGAGGGTCAAAGGACAGTGATGATCTGGGACTTTTATGGACATTTATAAACATTTATGAACATTTATGCACATTGATCATCCGGATCCCTATGGACCAATGTGTTTGTTATTATTCCATTTGAACGGTTTGAATCTCTAAACTGTTGTTGGTGAATTGGACAAATTTGTAAAGTCTACCGAGACAACAACAATTGGGTTTTAGGGCCATACAAAATTCCATCTGTTCTCTCCTTGATCGGCTGAAATGTTATGAAGTGAGGCAGAGAAATGGAGGAAGCAAGTGTAAAAATGAATGAAAATCAAAACTAATATCCGTAATATTTGAGTTCTTTGTTTTTGTGGTTGTTGCAGAGCGGCTCCTACCTCCTCCAGCTCCTGTGCGACGCATGAAAGCAGCAACACAAAAATCAAAATCAAACAACGGGAAACAAGCCAAGAGACGTCACAATGTCAAAGATTTGGAATTGTGGGGATTTGAACAATAGATAACATTGAGTTTATATTATAATCTCTCATCACTTTTAAATATTTGTTGAAGCTATAATTGCATTCGTCTGAACAGCTTCTGGACACAATGAGAGTTTTAAACTTTTTCCCATTGGCAAATATACTGTATCGGTCAGGCATAATTTAGAACTAAAAATCATACACGTTTTAGTTTTTTTTTTTCTTTGTTGTAAAATGTGACCTAAGTTCTCATTTACATAATGACCAAAGAAATAAACTATTACTACTAAAATATAGTTTTACTCCAATCAACATATATTCTTGCTTAATCCAAGCTATTTTGTACTTTTTTGGTCACATGTTTACAGTGAGAACCAGCTGATCCCATTCACACACAGACCAGGAGAGTGCAGGGAAAAAAATAACTATAAAAATCATTTTGATGATGATGGCAAAAAGGGAACAGTTAAACATCAAGACTGCAACATAAAAATAAATACACCTTTTTTTTCTTCTTTTTTATCTACATTTTGTCAATCAAATCTATTTCACATTTTATTCTGGAACAATGAAGATGTAGCGCTAGTTTACACGGAATCACCTAACTCTGTTGAAAAAATGTCATTGTACCCAGACCCCAAACCACCAAGAATAGACCTTTAGATCTTCATCTACGGCTGTGATTATAGGCACCACTGAAGACAATACATCTCTTAAAAAAGTGTGAAATATACAAATATATTTACATATTTAGCTACTCTTAAGAACAGCCTGATTGCATTTATAATAGGTTGTAAAAATAAGCCCTGAAGAAGGACGTGGAGGTGAGAGACTGATGCCGTCTTATTAACAAATGTATACATATATCTCTATACCATCCATACAATTTAACGCACACATTTGACATTGTGACCTGGGAAAGTGGAGCAGGAGATATTGTTAGTTATTTATTAGCGAAGCAGTGAAGCATTAGAAATAAATATGCTTTTTTATGATTTTGTGGCGAGAGAATGAACCGTGTGCACCTTTTTAAGTCAGGTCTGCTTTCTAATTGCGTCTGCCGTGTGTGTTTTGGCCTGAAAACTGTTTTTCTTGTTCTGTAAAAGGTCTCCAGTGTTTGCAGTCGGCTCCCGTGAAAATAAAGGCGTGTTTGGTCGTCCTGTCAGAATAAGAGCGTTGTTTGCTTTTTGACAGATGAAGTAAATACTGCAGCTTTGTAACTCACTGCTGCTCCTCCGTGACACAGAGAGAAACACAGAAAACCAACCACGCTCTGTTTAATTGATTTAGTTTCCTCTTTTCTGCAGATTTCTTGAGTTTTTACAGATACTTGTCAAAAATATTCAAGTTCCGATAGTGTGGTCTTTTCAGTTTTGGACTTTGTTGTTAATAAGATGAGAGAACTTTTATTCATCCCAGAGAGGGGAAATTCCTGTGTTGCAGCGCATGTGACAGACGGCAGCAATAGTAGCACATACAGTGGTCAAAAACAATATAAACAAATAGCTGTAAATTCTTTCTTTTAGACTGTAACAAGTTGATCAGTTATTTAAATAGTTCTCAACTATTGGACACAGCGAGGAATCTGAAACATTGCACAGGCCTTTTGGTTTATATGTCATGAATTATGTCATGTAAAGGGGCAGAGAGCAGGGCGATACGGAGAGACTGAATACAGTGTGTGACTCATCTTTTGAACTAAATTGTTTTAGATCAATTTTGAAAAGCTGCGGGATATTGGGAAAAAGCACTATATGCGATATTGGCGTCAAGGACTTCGATGAGAATAGAAATTACGAAATGTTCTTTCCCCCAAAGAATTTAAAATGCAATATTCTTTTGCACTTTCTTTGCATTTATGGTTAAATCCATTGTCTTTTCAGTCACAGCAGGTGGAAATAAGTTCATGCATGCTAAAGATTTGGGTAAAATCTGTTCTTAATTCAGTGAGCGCTCATGTTTTGTGTTTTAGACGATCTTATCTTCTACCATCTCTTTTTCGATTATCAGACCGACCTCATAATGCTGACATCCTCCGGACACAACCTGACATTCAGAAATCGCAGCTTCACGTTTCACAGATCCTCGAGTCCAGAGAAAATCCTCCAAAGTGAAATAAAACGCGTGGAAGCTGCTGCTGCGTCCTGCTGCGGTGCCTGACAGACCGCACTCGGGGAAAATCCACATGACAGCTTCAACTGTGGCTAATAAAGAAGGCTCTGTAACGGCCGCGCGGAGAAAAAACACAGGAAAAACAACGAAAAACAACAAAAACAGAAGTGGCCACGCACCAGCGGGTTTGTGGGTGTGCTGCGTCTGACACCAGCGCTGCCCAAAACGTTTGAACTCAGAGAGACGGGAGCGCTTCATTCTGGCACCAGGACAGTCTAACACACACTCACTGAGGAGCTACAGTCAGCTGCGTCTGCTTCATCCAACCCCTTTTCAACTGTGTAAAGCTGTTTATTTTTTATTTATCAATTATAACCGGCACAACACGTATTTTACATATGTCAACATTTGCAGACAAATAACCTGTACCTGGTTCAAAAAGGGATTGGATGATTATATTAGAAGAATGTTGCTTATATTCTGGTTATTTAGTTATTTTTACATTTATATCATTTTGCATTACTATTATTTATTTATTCCAAATCACTCTCACCATATGAGAATGAGCACAAACTAACAACACACAGTTTGCATAATAAAGTTATTTTTAAATGTCTATTATATATCAGAATGTCCACTTAAGTTGCTAAAGAAGCTAAATATTTATCCTGGTTATTTGTCTTTATTGTCACTTCATTTTGGTCATGGCAACAGTTGCTAAGGAGCTCTTGCCGGCTCTGACAGGGGTGTCAGTATATAAGCTCGTCTTTGCATTTCTTTACTTTATGAAGGCAGCTACTTTAATCAAATCTGAGTTTGGATATTATTTTCTCGTATCTTAGTTCATTTATTGTATATTATTTATGCTATGAGTGTTTTGAAGATGTATGAGCAGATTAAACCATGAGGAGCCGTACTTATTCATTTTTTGCAAATTCTATGAAAAAATAATTTCAATTCTCACTACTACTACTACTACTACTACTACTACTACTACTACTACTACTACTACTACTACTACTACTACTAAAAACATGACAGTGTGTCTTGTTCACCTCTTTGATCTCGTCCCGCGCCTGCTGCAGCTTGTCTGGTTTGTTGGTGAACTGTAGTTTGGCCTCCGCTTCTCTCTTCTTCTGAAGCAACAGCTGAGTGTCCTGCCACTTCTGCCACGTCTTCACCCGGTGCTCGAACACGCCCTGAAAACACAACAGATTTTTAAACACAAGAATTTTATGTTTGACTTTATTCACAAATAATTGTTTGAATTAAGAAGTTACTTATATTTGGGAAAAAGTCCATTGTCTGGCAAATGGATAAGCACGATTGCCAACATTTTTGTATTTTCCCGAACCATTTCTCCCATGAAATGATAGAGCTAATGCACTTAATCTGAAGCTGCAAAGTGACAGAGTCCGTTCTGGTTCTGGAAGTAAAAGATGCCTTGAAATTCCCTAAACATTCAATTTGGTTGTTTTTAAAAGTTCTGCATTTATTTTTGTATACTGTTTTAATAATATTAATTCTGGGGGAAAAAATTTGAAGATTTTTTTTTCCTTCTGGAACATAGAGGTGGGCTAAAGAGGAAAATTTCTAAATCTTAACTTAAATCAGAGAAATGTTCTCTAATTCAGACCGTTCTGGCACAATCAGCACAAATGGCTCTGGTTTATGGTCATGTTTTGTGTTTTTGTGCTGCACCTTCACAGCAGCGAGCAGGCGGACGTAGTCTCCTACGAGTTCGGACAGGAGGCAGGAGTCGTTTGTGGCCTGTTGGTTCTGAAGCGTCTCCACTTTCTCCTCGACCTCGGCGAGCTGCGAGAGCGCGCGGGACAGAGCCGTGTGCTCCTCGCTGTTCCCCAACATGGCGGCCGAGCGAGCGAACTGGGACGTGTTCAACGACAGCTCTGAGGGGAGACAACGAGACGAAGCAGGTTCAATATATACCATTTGTGTTGTTTTCAGATTCAAAATCAAACCACTGTATTTATCCGACAGGTGCAATTCATTTGAGCAGCACAAAGACAGAAAACACATCAAAAACACACAAAGAACAACAAACAGCAACATTCACTTACATTATCTTGACATGGAATAATTCTTTTATTATTTTTATGTAAAATTTTAGGTCCTTAATGTGATCATAAACCTATACTCATTTCTAGATACATTTGTTTTAAAATAAATTCAAAAGAAACTATGTCGCAGTAAATGTACCTTTCCGGTGACAGACGAGCGACTCGATGCTGATGTGGAGTTTCCTCAGCTGAACGTCCAGGTTCTCAAAGTGCTGCAGTTTCTCCTCAAACCACTAAACATCAAACAGAACATATACAGTAAAAGAAAGTCACAACTTCATTATTATCAGAACAACTCCATCCATCCATCCATCCATTTTCTACCCTTTAATCCATTTCTGGGTCAGGGGGGTGGCAGTCAGAGATGCCACCCAAGTCTCATAGCACCGGCCCCTCACTGACCCTCTGCAGGTGGTGAGTCCACAGGAGGACGGCTGCTCTCTGAGTGTGAGCATAGCCTTGATCTTTCAGTGGGGGCTTTTGGGCAAAGTGGGGTTAAGTGTCTTGCCCAAGGACACAACGACAGCAGTCAACAGCGGGAGAAGGTGTAGAGGTGGGAATTGAACCCATGACCTTCAGGCCTTAAGGCCAATGCTCTACCAACTGAGCTACTGTCGCCCTATCAGAACAACTCCTTTCCACATAATAGTTCAATTGTTTTCCTGCAATTGTCCAGGGCTATAAGTGTTAGCTTTATGTCAACTTGGAGAAAATGTGTTTTTGGTGTAAAAATGTGCATCTATGCAAGGAATGGCTATAATCTCACATGTTTTGAGTTGTATGGTGTATCACTGACATGTATCACACGTGTGCTTAGGAAGGAATGTGCAAAATTAAGAGCGAAATATGAGCCCTTTAAGAATTAGCTCGCATTATATCAAAACAACACAATTGGATAAGCCTCGTCTTTATCATAGATTCTCTACATTACCATTTCCTTCTTTGCCTGTAACACATAAACACAGCATAATATCTGTAAGTTCCTCACGGTGTCGGACTCGTTCATTTTGATGGTCATCTTGTTGACGGCGTCTGCAGCTTTGTTCATCATCCGCATGAGTCCAGCTCCACTCAGAGCCTGAGTGCTCACGGCCCGCGCCAGCTGCACACAACAAACATCATCAAATACTGTCTATTTTTTCTTCAATGTTTTTAGGTATTAAAGGAGCAGTATGTAAACATCTGGCCAAAAGTGGTACTGCAACCTCTCCCACTCTCCCTGACTCAGGTTGCCAGATATGCAGACGAATCCAGCTGGGAATATAACATCTGAATAGACAAAGTGTTTTGTCAACAGCAAATGTGTAATCGACACCTTTTTCACAAAGGCCCCGATAGAAATCCTCGTTATAGTCCTTGTTTTGTTCTTTAATAATTTGAGAATCATAACAAGACCTTTTTTAGTTGTGTGGCCACACGTTACCAGTGAGATTAGCTCAACGCGGTGAGTTCTGGGAAACAGGATCACAGACTTTCTGATTGGTGAAACGGTGGAGGGCGGTAAATCAAAATGAAAACAATAACAAGGAGCTGTAAAACCAATTTTGAAATTTGATTATCTCTGAACTACTTTTATCAGTTACAGAAGTATTGGAAAAGAACATGGTTTATTAATGACTTTTGACAGATAAGAAACATTTAATGATGACTTGACATGAAAATCTAACATATTGCTACTTTAATATACAGCAATAAAATAAAATGAATGTGCCATTTTAAACAAACGTTTTCTCTGTTCATAACCTGTTTAAATCTAATTCTTCAGGCAAGATTTGAATCCAAAATCATGTTCATTTAGTCCCAAATCCTGTCACTCCTCTGTTTTCGTTCCTTCAGATTTACTTGTTCACGCTCAGTGTTTTGCCTCGACCCAAACTGAGACAAATGAATCAGGAAGTGGACGGTTTTCAACCTAAAGTTGAATTGAGTCTTTTCGTTTGTCCTTTTGTAAAACTCTGTCCTCTCTTCCCTTTAACTCGCGCTGAATAAGATGGGTCACTCCAATATGGCCGCCACGTGTCAGAAGATTTAAAGGACTAGAGAGAGCATTGCTATGGTAACCTAAACACATATCCAGTTCCATAATACGCCAGTATCTTCTTTATACTTTATCTAAGGCCCATGTTCTTCCAAACTAGTCAAATAAATACAATTGCTCACTGAGCATATTACTGGCCACAATGAGGACATTTTCCGACAAAAACAAGTTGACTCCTGTTATTAGAACACAATTATATCATTGTGTGTTTGTTTAAACCATTTTTAGATTATATGAACTTAAAAAAAAACTTCCAAGTCAGTCCATTAGTTATATGGTGGTTAACAAGTCGATATAGTAATTACAGCGGCAGTTCGATTTTCATAACGATTCTCCTTTAAATTTCTTTGCAATTTGTCTTCAAAAAAGTCAAAAATAATTCAATCTAGCAAAATTAGCGGAGTCTTTTTAATCCTGAGTAGATAAACCTTTCTGTTTTATGTTTTAGAATTTAGATTTATGATAAAAATAGCAAGATGGCCGCCAACAAGAACCCAATGCTTTCTCTAGTTCCTTACGTTCCTGGTGTCAGCTGTGGAAGTGATGGAGCAGCTAAGGCCACGCGCAGTAAATTGGCTCAAATTGGGTCCTGGTCAAAACACACACATACACGTATACAAACACACACACACACAAACACACACACATATACACACACACACACACACACATGGGACATGTCGAGTTAGAGCTGTCGTTGGAAACACGCAAACGTTTTCTAACAGAGAAATGAAGAAAAATGAGGCCGTCCAGCGCGAAACGAGTTGTGGTTTACTGCTGTCGCCACGGAGATGGCCAGTGACAAATCAAAGGTGTAAGAGAGGGGGGAGAGTGGGGGAGTGGTGTTTATTTAGGGCGAAAACAAGCTGCAATTTCAACCAATTTGCTGTTTTTTGTTATCCCAATAACTTAGAGTCTGAAGGAGCTGCGAGTAGAATAGGAATTGAATGAAGAAGGGAAAAAAATAATTAAAAAAATCGCAATTTGAACTAATGCAATCAGCAAAAGAGCAAAAAGTAAGTTCTTCCATGTCCAGGTTAGAGGTTAGAAACGAAAACCCAATATGAATCTGCGAGGCACACATTTTGCACCGACTGTGAAGTTTATTCTCATAATAGTTCCAGATTAACCTAAAAATACTTTGACTTTAAAGCTCATAGCGTCCGGCAAAAAAAAAAAACAGTTGTGAACCAGTGACACTAAACCATGTTGGAAATACAACTCTCTCAATGGGATTATCACCAGATTAAAACTCTGAAAAGTACATTTTGCAGAACAGAGGTTAAACTGTGATGTCACCTCTGGGCTCTCGAGGAACTGCAGCAGATCTGGGTCTTTGAGTAGAACCAGGTGTTTGACCGTCCGCATCAGGTACCTGGAAAACAAAACTGTGTAAAATAACTCAGACTAAAGCTGCAGACAAAGAACATGTTTATTTTAGTTTCATTAAACATAATATAATAAGGGAAACTTGGAAAATTAGATCATCATTTTTTTCCTCTAAATACGTATTTCTCTTTTTAAAGCATGAAACGGCAAAGTAAATGATCAATATAATGTTTAAGGGTCAGTTTGGACATAAAAATAACAAATATCATACATTATTTAAGTATTAGAATTTTATCAGCCTGTAACAGATAAGAATCAAAACAAGATTTTTTTTCATGGAACATGATGCAGGTTCCACTTCTCCCTCATCTCTTACCTCCACTAGAGGGTGATGTAATCACCAGGGTGGGGCTGTTAGTCAGAACTTATAAGCAGTTTTTATGATCTTTTCAGTAAATCCTCAAAATGGGAACACATGATTCAATTATGGAAGGATCCAGATCACAGGAATGTCTTTGAGGAATGTCCTTTCTTGGTGAACATGACATTGGACTCTTTTAGTGTCCACTCATTTACAATAGTTGAATTTCACTCATGTTCCTTTTCCTTATAATTATTTGTACAGAGTTTCAGTTCAAGTTAGATGTCTTAAGCTCGTGTGCAGATCTGTGGTGATCATGAATAATGGCCCTTGTGACTGATAGAATTGATTAGAGAGAAAACATTTGTGAATTTTCCGGGTGGAGATTTCTTGTGTTTCCGATCTCCAGTGAATCTTGAGCGCTGTCTGACGTCCATCAGTGGAAATGTCAGAGGAATGTTAACAAACTCAAACATGTGTCCGAATAATTATCAACTCCATATTTCTGCTGCGCCCTTTGCTCTGAGGGCTGACATTTAGCACAAGGCCGATTTACACCGTTTTCCCAATAACACGTCAAAGATCTCCTCAGCCCTAAAGAAACGTGAAGCACAACTGTCAAGGCATCCGGGTTTAGTCCTGGTTAGACCTGGTTTAGACCTGGATTAGTCCAGAAAAATTGTCTGGAGCCACAAAATAAAATAAAAAATATTTACATGTTTCTAATTTTAGTGGCCAAAAATGACTTATTGTATTGTATTTAGTGTATGTTAAATTTGCACAAGTGGCAGAATTGAAAGAATTTTATTTATTATAAAATTAAAATAATCTCTGTGTTCAATGTTGCCGGGCCTGTGCTTATTCATGCATACATCCACATTAGTCAGTTGTTTTTGTCCGATTCAAATGTCCTAGTGCCATACTATACAGAATTTGATAAAGCAGGACTTGGACAGAAGGGGCGGGTGGATGTGACAGAGACAGAAGTGTTTGGTACCTCTCTAAAGCACAGCGTCGCTTTTCCACAAACTCATTTGACGACTGGTCCTCTTTCCCCACTTTCACTTTCGTCATTCCTAAAACAAGTCAGGAGCCGTTAGATGTAGTCTTTTCACCAACAAAAAATAACTGTTTGGTTTTCTATTATTTGCAAACCAGCTCTTACCCACAATGCTCTTCTCTGGGGCGGGGGGCACGATGTAGCCGATGTGGAGGTATTTTGAGGCCAGTTTACTGTGAAGTCCTAAGAAGTCACTGAAGCGGCGTTTCACAGAGAAGTCTTTGAGTTTGAACAAGGACAGCGTCGTCTGCAGAGAAAGCCCCACTTTTAATCCACGCATAATCAATAACACGAAGGAAGAGAAACACCAAAGGTACAAATGGGAAAATTACTCCATCAAAGAACTCTCTCCAGACCAAAAAACATCTTAATATCACAGCAGACATTATTTTTGGATCTGAATGGAGATTTTCAGATGCAAAATAATACATTCAGCCTCCAATTTTGCAATTTCTTCTGTCTTCACATTATTAGAAATTGTCATCTTTTGCATACTTGTAATAATGAGCCCTGGGAGTCACTATTTGAGGCTTTGGGCAGAGAGCTGATTGGTGGAGTGAGGGTGGTCCGCTCTTTTTATATTCTCAGTCTGAAAATACTGATCTAAAAATGTGACAAGACAGAAACTAGTGATAGAACCCGACTGTTCTGTAGGTCAGGGACTAGTTACATGGACTTAACTGCATTGTCTCGTGTTTGGAATATTAAGATTAGATTAAGAAATCCTTTGTTCGTTCCACGGTTGGGAAATTTCAGTGTTGCATCATCAGTTACAGAACAGTAGGAATGAGCACACAGCACAAGGACTATACCTCTATACTAAACTCTATACCAAATAACCCTATACAAAACTCTATACTAAATAATTCTGTCAAACTCTATACAAAAAAATAACATGAAATAAAATCTCTAGCAGGTTTTTAAAGTTATGTATCCCAGCTTTAAAAACCTCCAAAAGTAGTACTCCATATCAATTATTCATACTATTCTTGAGCTTTGAACATGGGTCGTACCTTTGTGGTGACTTTGTAGGCCATGTAAGCGTTCATCCCGTCTCCTGAACAGAGAGGGAAAAGACAAGATTTTAACATTTTCTGAAACAAGAGCGTTGGTAAAAATGTCCAGTTATTCACTCACCGACTTTCTCTGGGTCTGACACCGAGATGAGGATGTCCAGAGAGTCCCCAGCCTCCTCTTCCTCTATCTGAGCAAAAACATGACAAAAGTCTGTATAGGTGTGGTATGAATTATATGAAAATGACAAACAAATAGGAAAATTTGATCCATGTCACCTCAATGGAAGAAGCCTTACACACCCAGGAAAAATGATTGAACTGATTTTCTTGATGCCACTTTTCAGATATTATGAATGACAACACAAAACAAAAAACTCACTCATTATTAGTGGTTGTATGAAGCCCTTTACTGTCAACGAAATGCGTTTTCTATTTTAAAATGATGACAACAGAGCCTCCTCTTCTGACCCTGATCAGAGTCTTTAGAGGTAATTGTGGATGATTTTCTTCTATTCTCTTTGATGGAACAAAAATCTTCAGACTCAGAATCATTTTCATTGCCATTGTAAATAACAGGAAGTCTCAAACTTGCAGTTTAATTTGGCTCATGGGGCAAAAAAAGTTAAAACTCTTTTTGGCAAAGTAAAAAGTAAAAAAATCCTCTTGGCCAAAACTGTTTGTCTATTCCTGAGCTTTGTGTGAACTGCACATTGTAGATGGTCCCCAGAGCGGCTCAAATATGTTATAATGTAGAAAATTCATTTTGTCTTCTTATGTTTATGACTTTTTAGGTTCTTCTAATAAGACAATTAAAGCAAAATAATTAAGCAGCACTAGTTTTGTTTTGCTTTAATTGTCTTATTAGAAGAACCTAAAAAGTCATCAAATATGTTATATTGTGAAAAAATAAAACATGGCTTTATACAACCTCAAACAAGTCTATTGTCTTTATATTATCATTTACAATCTCCAAAAAATGGCCAAACCAATTAAATTGATTGGATAGGTGTCTCTGCTTGGACTGCTGCACCCGCGACCCGGCAATGGATGGGGCGGAAGAAAATGTGTAAATGTTCAAGCACAACTGGATTGAACTAAAGAAGTATTGAAATACCTCATCGAAGGAGGAGTGCGTGAACATGTCGGGGGCCAGTCGAGGGGCCATCACAGAGCTTGGGGGAGAAAGGGGTGTGAGTGCGGGTGAGGGACCATCCGAGAGGAGCACGTCCCGCTCTGGGCTGTCCAAGGACACCTCCTCTGTGGCCTCTGAGGGGAGAGAGAGGACACTGCTAACATCTCATCATTTAGTCGTGCTTAAATGGAACATGGCCTGATACTGACTGCCTTAAAAAAAATTGCCAATGGGACGAAGCAAAATTATATTGTTTTAAAAAGATACAAGAAATGTCTCACTTGAAATAACGCTAAATGGCTTCGTCCCATTGGAGGATCGTATTTTAAGATTCTCCAATGGGTTTAAGACAGAATTAGTGTCAGAATGTACTCAGAGTAAGATAAACAACACTCGAGTCACTTTTAGTTTTTAGTGCAATTTATTAATGTTTGAATTAACTATATCTTCATAAACGTGCACCGCTATTGCTCTCCTCACTGTCCTCTGACCACCGGCACATCGAACCGCCCCTGGATTTTTCCTTTTCGGATTTTGTGATATCTGGAGGATTCGTCAAGCCCCTTGAAGAAATAAAATATAATCGCAACTTTATCCGTGGAGGAACGGTGCTGCGCACTTCACTGGCTCTTCCTTAAAGGTTTTGCCGTATGTTTCGGTGTGGAGCTCCACCTTAAAAGGACTTAAGGTGGAGCTAAACAACTAGTTTCTTGTATAGCATTGTTTTACCTCAATCTAAACATTTCATATGAACTATACATTTCATAAAGAGCCATGGGGGTCATAAATCATCATTTTACAGAGAATGAATCGGGTTATGTCCCGTTTAATAAAGGTTTCTTTATGAACGTGTTGGTCTAACGGGACAGGCGTCGCTCGGCTCGTAGCCTCCTTTGGTGCAAACATAATAATGGCCGTTTACAATCGCAGCCTCTTCTTGTTTAAAGACCATAATCACAGGTTCTCAGGCAAAACTAATCCCAGAATCCCATGATGCATTTGTGCTCAAAATTGCAGCGTAAGCAACTTTTAAACCACATCATAATTACAAACCACATCACTGCAAAACTGAGAAAAAAAAAATGGAGCATTGAAAGTGTATTTTGACTCTGGTGTGAGTCTGGTGTGTGTGTGTGTGTGTGTGTGTGTGTGTGTGTGTGTGTGTGTGTGTGTGTGTGTGTGTGTGTGTGTGTGTGTGTGTGTGTGTGTGTGTGTGTGTGTGTGTGAATGGTTGGTGGTGGTCGGAGGGGCCGATGGCACATACTGGTTGTCAGTGTGCCTCGGGAGAGAGTCAAAGAGTCAAAACCTTCTATAGATATGACAAAAGGCAGAATTTCAGATTCATGCAGCTAAAAGTCTTCCTGAAAATGTGAGACACGCTTCTACTTTGACAATGTTCAAAACCAGCTTAAAAACAGTTCTGTTTAGCTGTGCAAAGAACTGAAGGATTGTATGACGTAGGGCTGGGCGATAAAACGATAACGATATATATCGCGATAGACATGTGTTCGATATCAATAGAGAATGGGGTCGATAGAATGTTCGATAGTTTAACTTAACTCCGTCAGGAAAAACAGGAAGAAAACACCGGAAGTAAAGCCGACTCATAAGCGCATGGCATTGTGGGGGATGTAGGCGGAGGCTTCTTGACCAATAACAGCCGAGCAGGAACCGCAAAACTTTGTGGGAAATGCAAAAACAACAACAACCGCAGCATGCGTAGCGTCCATGGATCTATAGCTCGTGTTTCAATGCCGTGTCAATGGTTATGCACGTACGTGCGCGGAATAACATGTGCAGCGGCAGAGGTAGTGGACAGACACGATGTATTCGGCCGCACGGAGCGGCCACGGGGACACAAGACCCTCAACCAGCTAAACCAGGAGCTAAACCAGGAATAAAAACCAGGATTAAACCAGGACTAACAACGAGGGACACAGTGTGAACATATTTCTCCAGCCTCATCGCCCCGTGACTGTAAACAAGGCTGCTAAGGTTGGTTAGCCCACACGACAAATATATTTATTTAGGTTAAAAAAAAAAACTCAATATATATCGTTATCGACCGATATGAATGACTTATATCGTGATATAGTTTTCAGCCATATCGCCCAGCCCTAGTATAACGCACTGTGATTTTTCTTCTTGTTTTGTGTTGTTGGTGTATGAGCTTTGAAGCACAAAAAGTGCCCTAAAAATAAAGGTTGAATAATATTCTTAAAAACTAACCAATTCAACCTTGTATTAAAAGGTGTATAGAAGGATTTTGGATTTTCTACTTCCAGGTGGACCATCAAGACTATTGGTCCTCCTAATTGTCAATCATTCTGGTGATACGTGCTCGTCAAACAGAGAGAGTGGAGAGAGCGGTTCTTTCCTAAAATTTGAGAAAATCTTCCTATATGCCTTTAATTTATATGTGATTTTTTTTTTTTTTTTTACAGTGATAGATAAACCAGGCCTCTTGATTGTGTCATGGTGTGAACTTTTTAATTATTATCTTTTATACTTTTTGTTTTATTTTGCTATAAATTTGTTCTCTTGCAGTTTTGAGCTTTCTTCCTGTCTGTTTCGTTAACAGTCTGCCCAAATGTAATTCATCTTTTGTGTATTTATACCCTGTGCTTTTCCCCACTTGTTGTCCGTCCATTACCGCCACCGTTTGTTCCAATCTTGGGTTCAGTTCTGGAATTTTGTGTTCAAAGTTACCTTGGATTGATTTGATTAAATTACACTTTTTATTTTCAGTTTTGCATTTTGGGTTCCTGTTTTCATTTCACCACGTGGCAGATCCTTGAGTTTTACCAGCGAACAGGTCGTCAGGGTCCTCCTCAAACATGCAGCTCTGTCGGGGTCCATTTGTGCTCTGCTCCTGAGGCGACTGCAAAACAACAACAGGGTGTCAAAGATTAGATCAAATAAGATGAAAGAATGAGCTTTATTCATCCCTCACTTTTCACACAGTTCAACAGCCGCAGCGATGAAGTCGATTATTGTCAGTGGTCACAGTATGATACAGAAAATCAAATACAAAAGTGTGGAAAAGTGCTGACTCGGGTGAATCTTTTCCTGTTTCCTCTCTTCCTTCCTCTCTCCCTTCTCTACATCCTTTGCTAGATTTGTCCATATATAACCACCTGGACCCGTTCATTCTCTAATTCATAGTGATATTAATAATAAAAATAAAAATAACATATAAATAAATAATCATCTCAGAGGACTTAACAAAATCAACAATCAGAGAATCAACAGTTAAGACACAAAAAAGAATATAGAACACAAGTTGATGAATTATTTATAAATTACGACAAATTTATATAGAACTGATTAATAATATTAATTGTCTTAGCAGTTTCTGTGCAAAAGTTGGCAATTTTCTTCGATTTTCTTGGTAAAACAAGAATATTTTAGAAGTAGCATGTATATTTAGCATTTTCTCTTTTAATCATAACTAAAAAAATAATCACCTCACAATAGATTTGGAATCACGATTATCATTGTTATAGTAAGTAGAACAGGAAGTCACAAACCAGGACTTTGCTTTGGGATATAACCCATTTTGTGCTTGACCCATTGATTGATAGATGAATGGAATATTGTTGCTGGATTGTACTCGCTTCAGTGGCATAAAGTAGTTATTATACTGGAGTAATATACACAACATGAGTTATTGTGCTTGCTCTTCACAGGCTTGCAGACGTATCTCCAAACATTCACTGACGGAGGCATAGTTTTGGGTGATGGGGGCAACCGGTGCGCCCAGAGGAAACCCACTCAGACAAAAAGAGAAACACACAAACTCCACGCAGAAAAGGCCCCAGTTGGCGCAGGATCGAGTGCTTCCAACAAATCTTTTTACAAGGACAAATGTATAAAGTGTGCAGTTTTATACAATTCTTCACTGACCCACACGTAAGCAACAATAAAAACAGTTTGGTGTTTTTTCTAAATTCCCGCTTCAGCTGATATGCACGTCCCAAGGGCCAATTGCAGGATCATTGAAAGGAACAGGTGCTCTCGTTTCAAACTGAACTGTGTAAATGTCAAATGAAAAACATTGGGATTCAGTACTGGACAAGTTTGTTCCAAAGAATCCTGCCATTAGCATAAATCAAGCTAAACGTTTTGTGATGAAGGAACGCTGTCAAAATTCACTTTGCGTCCTCATGCTGTGTCCTTGGACCTCACAGTTAATGTTAAAGCAAGAAACAAAGAGGCTCTTGTACGTTTGTGGGACATGAAAGATGTTTCTCTCTATGTTGGATCTAACTAAACACATGAGATTTCTCTGCTCGTTCTGCGGTTGGAGTAAAATTCAATTCATTTAAATTCAATGTATTCTTGTATAGCCCTACATCACAACAGTAGTTATCTCTGAGGACTCTAAACAACCATTGAATTCTCCAACACAGATCAGAGAATCAAACAGTCAAACACATTGTTATTGGTCCATAACGGGCAGATGACCAAAGTCTGTAAGTGTTGAAAAATGTCCATAAATGTTGTTGAATGTTGAATGTCCAGGATCATCCCCACTGTCCTTTTAGTTAGACCTCACAAGACTCTAACAGACCCTCCTGCATCGGGAATAAAAGTATTGACAGTTGTAGTAAAAGTGGTTGTGGCAGTAGTATTGTCTCTGTGGGTTGTTTTTGAGGAAGTGAGAGCGTAGGTCATTGTGTGAGGAATGAGCTGAGTCAGACAAACTCTTACTTCAGCGTCACTACCACAAAACTGTTTGCTCTCTCGAAAAACAGATGAAATAAAGTTTAAGTATCATACTTAATCAATCAATCATATAAAGTAAGTCACTATTTTATTATTGATCCTTTTATTTAACCAGGAAAGTCTCACTGAGAGTCCTGGCCCCAGAGAGAGGGGCAGGAGTAGAGTTTGGGAGGGTGTTATGGGAGACTATTGTGCATGTTTTTAGGGGCAGGGGAAACTGGAGCACCCGGAGGAAACCTAGACAGACATGCGGAGAACATGCAAACTCCACAGAGAAAGGCCTGGAGGTGGAATTGAACCAAAGACCTTCCCACCCATTCCCATAGGGGGGAGGAGCTAACTCCTTTTGCAGATTGAAACAACTGTATCGGAGTTTACCGCGACGTATGTAATGCGCCCGAGTGAGTGAGGCATTTAGCATTTAGCCTAGCTTTAGCCATCTCTTTTACCACTAACGGAGCCCGTGGGGAGTAGAGACACACAATCTTTGCCAGCGATGACATTTACTAAACATTCCTCTTGCACGAGCATCAATTTCTTGGTATCTGGAGTCGAACCACAACGGATTTAATAACTTCATTTGCATTTGCTGCCATTGCAAAACTACAACCAGCAAATTTGGCGCAAACTCTTGACGTCACAACACTTCCCTACAACACGCGTCTCCCTCGCTCGCTGAATGGTCGGAATACAACTGAGGAAACTGCAACCGTTGGGATCAGACCCAGACGTACATGTAGGAAATTATAATTGACAGGAGTTTACGGATGGATAAGGTCCTATCACAGATCCATAATTATCCGATTCTTTAAAGTTGAGCAGCAGGGAAAAAAGTGAGCTATACATCCTCGTATCCGCTTACACACATCCTTCAGTCCTCAGCACAAACACAACACGACAGCAACATTTTTTTCCTTTAACAGGATGTGAATATTGCGTCACCTTCTTTACTGTCAAAGTCATCATTAAACAACTTACAAAACCAAGAGATTTGTGATTAAATTATTGCTCTAGTGATATAGAAGAATAGCTACTGTATGTTTCAGTGGCTAATGGGTCTAACTTAAAAAACAAACAAACAAACTACAGAAACGATGAGGTCGTGTAACATGTACAAGGGCCTAAACTGTACATGTTTTTAAATATAAATGCTCTTATGTATTATCCCTCACTTAGTACTCCTAATTATTCACTATGGCACATTTATACAGTGGTACAGCAGAGGACTAGCATGCTAACAGAGAACTTCTTGGTTTGAGGATTCGAAAATACTTTATTATTAGATGACGACAGTAGTGTGGTCTTTGCATCAGCTCCGTGTTCTGTGTTCCCTGTTCACTTTTCCCATTGGTAAAATGTTTTATACTTATGGGTCTATGTTCTGTTTTCTTTGCAAATCCCCCATCAAAAATCATACAATTCTCAATATAACAAAGCAAGCAAATAGAATGTTAATATGTCCTATTAGTTATTTGGATTGCATTTAATCATATCTGTGATCAAAATCAAATCAAAGCGATGCCGCTCGAGCACATTCTCAACAATTGATTGTTTGATTGAAAATATTTTTATTTTTTTCATTCTGCAGTAACTGAATTTTTTAGAATCACATTTAGATGAACGTTCAGAAGAATATTTAAAGATGCAACTTTTTATGTGGAAAAAGAAGATATTTCTGTGTATTTGACCTTGTAATAACCCAGTGGGAGTGGTCTCTAGGATGCTGCAGGATCAACTGTTTTCTCTGCTGTAGGACCACTGCACCGGAAAACTTAGTCACAACCGTGGTTAACAGTGAAGGCACCACGCTGTCCACTAACACTGGATCACCACAAGGTCAAAAACACAGAAATATAAACTTTTATTTTAACACATAAAAAGTGACATAATGCCCCTTTAAGGTGTTCAGCTAATAACAAAGAATAAAGCCTTAAAGAGGTTGAAGAAACGTAGTAATAGTAGTAATAAAACCAAGTTTAAATCAGTGTGAGGTTAACCAACAGAATATTTAAAAGCACTAAAAAAAATTGTAAAATTGTTATAGACCTAAGAAAAAAAATACTGTCTACATTTTTATAGACAATGCAATAATTCTGACATCAATCTCCAATAACAAAAAAAGTATGTACAGTGGCAAAAAAAATTGCATTACACAACTTTGTATGTGACAAATCAGCTGCATCTTTGTGAATGCATTGTTCCTGTAAAATAAATAAATAAATAAATAGATACATGTTTTATTATCACCCAGCCATGTTAAACTCAACTGGATCCCGACTCTTTATTTGATCAGGCACCGAGAGTTAATCAACAACCTGAACAGGACTATCGTTCACCTGACACTCACCTGACACCTCATGACCGGCACAGTTCACGTTATAACTATGCCTTTATTGTTACTGATAATGGCACAAAATCACTATGTACTGCCATTATTTACTCGTCTCATATTTGAAATCACTAGAGTTATGAAGAGAGAAATAATAAGAGCAAGGTCAGGTCAGCGCAGCCCTGAATGTGCAGCTCCGAGTCTGCAGATTCACCTGTGACTGTCGCCTGACCTGACACGCCCACACCTCTTACAACGAGGCTTCTGGCACAATTCACTATTACTGTGTGGTTTTAAGCTGGGCGGTCCCAAGAATTGCATTTTCTATAGATTTTATTGTTCTGACCAAAAAACAACTTGGATAATAACAAGTTTTTGCCACTTTAAAACATTACTCATAAAGCAATACTGCAAAACTACTTTAAAGCTCCAGTATGTTTACTTTTTAGCTGACACAATAGACAAATACAATGTTGTTTATTCTCTGTTAAATGACTGTTTTTATGGCGTTAAAATAGAGTAATAAAACATATTTCCTAACCGTGTGTAGGATGACTCCTCCGCAGACCTGACTCATGTCTTTTACTTCGAAATGCTGTTCTCTCACAACAATCTTACACAATATGATCAAAAGTATATTTCCGCACATATTGGAACGATAGCTCTATAGTAGTAGTAGTAGTAGTAGTTCACGGTTTTTTTTCTACTGGATCATGCATTTCTGGAGGTGGAAAGTCACGTACTGTTGCTTTAATTCTGGGGTTCCAATCTTGTAAATAATACCTTCTGTTATTACTAGGGGTGGGAACCTAAGGGTACCTCACAATACGATACGATACAAAGCTCACGATAACGATATTATCACGATAACGATATTATCACAATAACGATATTATCACGATATGACGATTATCAATATATTGGTCAGAAATATACAATATGCCAATTTATCGCATAAATAAAAGAAAAAAATACACTTTATTTCATGATAAATGAAATGGAGATGCGTAATGTAGCCATATATTAAGTATTAATACCATTTAAAAAAAATAAAAAAAATAATAATAATCAAATTGCAGGAGAAAGTATCCCGCGTCACACCCCTAGTTATTACCCAACAGAAAGAGCCTTGCAAAAGTAAAATGTTGTGGAAAATAATCAGACCACAACATGCTGTCTTCATCTTATTAGAAAACATTTTGCATACTTGTAATAAAAGGCCCTGTGAGTCACTAATTGACCCTTTGGGCTGGCCGAGTGAAGGTGGCTCTCTCTATTTCACTTTTCTGAAAAAGCTGATCTAAAGACGTGATAGAAGCCCAAAAGTTCATGTATTTTATAAAGAACTGAATTGTCTTGAGAGTAAGGTATTAGTTATATAGATTTTATTACACAGTTAATATTTTGAGGATCGCAATTTAGGTACCCCAGCTTTAATGAGACGAGCAGGTGTTGGAAAAGCACCTTTAGTAAACTACCTTTATAAGAATGTTTAATGTTATGGTGAATTTAGGGGCAACAAACAAGTGGCAAAACTAATTCAACCAGAGCAGAGCATGCACCGAAAAATGCCCATAGGTACCCCCCGAATGAAGGGTTGAAACGACCGCGCATCCCCCCGTGTTTCCACCAGCATCACGCCCCAGCCCGGTGGTTCTATCCCCGGGGCCTGTGCTCTCACTCCCTGCCTGCCTGGGCCTCACCTCGTCGGGGTCTGGGAACAGCTCGTCTCCGTCCTCGAGCTCCTGGAAGCCGCTGTGGTCCTGCGCCATGTCCCCGGGAGTGGGTGTGGGTGTGTGGGGTGTGTGTGTGGAGGTCCTGGAGGTCCCGGAGCTGCGCAGCGGGAGGGCGGACGGAGTGAAGCCGGAGAGCAGAGGAGGAGAACGGGATGCGAGCTGCTGCTTCCCCCGCTGTCATGTGATCGCGGAAGAGACAGGAGGTACCACTCTGCTCCCGGGAATGTGGATGAGTGGAAGTCAGGTGTGGAAGTTTATTTTTTCTTCTTCTTTATTGACTCAAACTCTTACAGAGGTGACCTGACATAGAAAAATAAAATAATGTATGCATTAACTTGGGGATAGTACAATTGAGGCATATCAGGTTAAACAGACACATAAGAATAGGATGCAGACATTTCTACAACATAAGAATTTAGACATGGGCGACAGTAGCTCAGTTGGTAGAGCATTGGCCTTTGGGCCTGAAGGTCGTGGGTTCGAGCCCACCGTAAGACCTTCTTCACGACTCCCACTGATGACTGCTGTCTTTGTGTCCTTGGGCAAGACACTTAACCCTACTTTGCCCAAAGCCCCAACTGAAAGATCTCAGCTCCTGTGGACTCACCACCTGCAGGAGGATCAGTGAGGGGCTGGTGCTCTGTGTACTGGGTGCAGAAGAAAAAAGAATTTAGACAGAGGCACAAATGTCTTTTGCAATGGCAGATTTAAGCAATTTTAGTGAGGAAAAGTAGATTCTGAAATCATTCGAAAAATGATTGAAACAAGGGCTTGACTTTCTCCATTTGCTACAATGAATATGGTATTAATAGAAAAACAATACATCTGAAACTTTCCTATCTATAATCATTGACAAAATAGAATATGTGACACAATTCAAAATCAGGAATATCTAAAATGTTGAAGGAAAGCCACTCTCTGATGTCACTCCAAAATTTACGAGAGACTGAACAGACTTTAGTTTTCACACTTAAACCGTTTGAGAAGAAAATTGGTCACTGGATAAATTTTTGTGGCAAATCTTAAAGTGATTTTGTTTGATCAGGTGTGGAAGTTTGTCTGCTGCAGTGTTTGTTTGGACAATAATGATGTGAAATTACGTTTTAAGCTGCTTCAACCATTGTTAATTTTCCTTTCAAATGTACCTTTTATGTGTTGATCCAGGAATGGTCAGTGATATGCCACAAAGGACCATTAAAGCTAAGATACCTTACTTTTTTGTCGTCTTTTTCCCCCCTCCACAGAAAGAGTCGTGTTAAAGTAAACAATTCAGACCCTATGCTGCCATTAGAAAACGTATTTGAATAATTGTAAGACATAGCCCTAGTGAGTAATGTTTGACTCTTTGGGCTGAGAGCTGATTGGCTGAGTAATGGGGTCCTCTCATTTTCACGTTTCTGTCTGGAAAAAGTTGATCTAAAGATGTAACAGAAGCTAAACATACATGCATGTATGAGGTTGCAGTAACATGTACAAGGGCTAACTGTACATGTTTTAAAAATATATGTTTATGTATTATCTACTTAGTATCTAAATATTCATATGGCATTTATTTTATACAGTGGTAAGCCGAGTGAAAGATTGCTAACAGAGAACTTCTTGCGTTTTGAGGATTCGAAAAATCCTTTTTTATTAGATGACGACAGTAGTGTGGTTTTCCATCAGTCCGTGTTTCTGTGTTCTGATTCACTATTTCCCATTGGGTAACATGTTTTTTGATATTATGGGTCTATGTTCTGTTTCTTGCCAATCCCCCATCAAAAATCATCAATTCTCAATAACAAAAGCAAGAAATAGGAATGATAATATGTTTATTAGTTATTTGATTGCATTTAATCGTATCTGTGCTGATCAAATAATCAAAGCGATGCCGCTCGAGACATTCTCAACCATTGATTGTGTTGATAGAAATATTTTTAATTTTTTTCATTTGCAGTCATGAATTTTTTAGAATCACATTTAGATGAATACGTTCAGAAGACTATTTAAAGAGTGCAATTTTTATTAGAAAAAGAAGATATTTTGTGTATTTGACCTTGTAGATAACGCAGTGGGAGTGGTTCTAGGATGCTGCAGGATCAACTGTTTTTCTGCTGTAGGCCAATGCCATCGGAGAAACATTAGTCACACGCCGGTGGTTACAGTCGAAGGCACAGCTGTCCACTAACACTTGGATCACCAACGGTCAAAAACACAGAAATATAAATTTTATTTCTACCATAAAAGTGACATAAAAGCCTTTACGGTGTTTCAGTCTAATAACAAAGAAATAAAGCCTAAAGCGGATGAGAACGTTGTAATAGTTAGTATAAAACCAAGTTTAAATCAGTGTGTGGGATAACCAACGATATTTAAAAGACTAAAAAAAAAAATTTTAAAATTTGTTATTAGACCTAGAAAAAAATTGTCAAAATTATCTACGAAATGCAATAATTTGACATCAATCTCCATACAAAACCAGATATGTCCATTGCAAAAAAACTTGCACATACAAACATTTAATGAGAAAAATCAGCCTGACATTGTGAATGATTGTCTGTACCTAATCAATAACTCAATAGATAATGGTATTTATAATACCCAGCCATGTTAATCAATGAGCTCGAACTCTTTAATAGATCAGGCATGCGAGATAATCAACAACAGAACAGGACAATGATCACTTGACACTACCTGACTCAGCCCGGCCACATTACAGATAAACAATGTTTATTGCTATAAGAAAATGGCCACAATACAAAGTCCAGGCCATTATTTATGTATTTATACTAAATTAGACCTCACTACGAGATATGAAGAGAGAAAAAAAAATGAGAAGGTCAGGTCAGCGATCAAGATAAGAGTCGAGACAGCCCGTTAACCAGATCGTGAGGAATAGATACACTTCACCCCTCCCCACTAACCCCTAGTCAAATTACCACCCAAAACCTTATATTAAAACATCATTTTTTTTTACCCTCAGACATTGCTCAAAATAAATAAATAAAAGACATCATGGTCCCAACCACCAATGTGATCTCACCCGAATAATCCCAAAACACCCTAACCTCAACCAATAAAATTCCCCCACCAACCGCTAGACTGTAATCTAAAACATCAGCCCAACTCCCCCACCCATAATAAAACACAAATACCATCCATAAAAAATTTACCCACTCTACCACCCCACTAAACCATATATACTTCTAACACTCTTCATCCACATAAAACCAATCCCACCATCAATAAACACCCCCCACAACCACATCACCCCCTAAAAATCACAATCCCTCCAATAACACTAACTAATATACTAATACTAACTTAAAAAAAAAAACATTCACCATCCAAAAATTCTTATTCCTACCTAAAATAATAAAAAAATTTTAACACAAAGACCACCACCAAATAACAAATTTTTATGTTAACCACATTTACACCACACTCACCTAAACCAAATACACTCAACACATAAACAACACTCACCTCACAAACACAAACCTACAACACCTCAAATCCTCAAAACCCTACCATTACTCCCAAACCCTAAATCCAAACATCCCACCCACCCTCACCCATCCCAAACAAACATCAAACAATCCCATTCTCCTGCGACAAGACTCCACTCATCTACAACCACCCTTACCCCCAAACACCACCACCCTCATAAAACCACCCACAATCCTTCTCAGAACTTCTACCCACCACTAGAAACCCCCTCCCTTAATCCCTACCCATAATATTCCCACCACCCTCACCCCATATACAAAACAACTCCCCAAAATCACAATAACCACCCTTATATCTACCACCAATCCAAATTTATTTCTATACTTATATTAAAACAAACAAAAATCCCCCTATCACCCTCTAATCACTCTCCCTAACATACAATTCACCTTCCATCCAATAATCTCTCCTACAACTAACACACTCAAAACAACCCTAACACAAAATTTCATCCAAACTACCTAAACATCTCCTCTCTTATAATTCCCCCTCAAATACCCCTCCAAACACCCCATAAACCATAAACATTATCAAACTTTTCCCCCTATTCCCCCAAACCCTCTCTCTCATCTTCCCCCCATCCACTACTCCATCATTAATCCATCTCTCACCTATAAACCCTCACTCTCTTTGTAACACACTTTTCTCATATCAACTCAATCATCATTTTCACCCCACTATTTTTAAGTTCCTATACATAACTATGCAATTCAGCGATATTACATGCATACTGTATATTTTAATTTTTATATATTTTATTATATTTATTCTTACATTCCTTATTCTCATTCCTTTTTTTCATTATTCTAGAAGTTCTATCTTCTCGTCTATTATTGAATTCTAGTCATCAACCCTTTACATATCACTCTTAATTACCTAGTTAACCACATACTTCCAAGATGCTATATTCCTACCTTATATTCCTAATCAAAAATATTACTATAATTACCACCCAAACCTATTAGATTCCATCCCCCACCACACCATACTTAAACCCAAATTTTACTACCCAATCTGCAATACACCGGAACCCATGTCACCACTCAACTTCTTCCTCCCATTCTACCCCAAAGCAATAATACAATGGGCGCATACGACACGAATTTACTCTCCAAGTCAAATTTAGCCTGTCTAGGAATCTCGCCACCTAACTGACAACCAACTTCACATCATCATAAATAATAGACCATGTGCAAGACATTCCCACAATTCCTCCCTCCCCCACTTTCCCCCCACATAGCCACCCCTCGTCAACACCACCACCACTCAACATCCTTCTTCCCGCTCTTTTTAAGTACTACACCCCCCATTTACCTCCATACCCCCACTCCTAACTTAGCTCCCAACCCTATTCAAACTCCGCTATTCTCAAACTCCCCAATACTATCCCCCCCTACTCAACATCCCACCAACCCCAACCCTCAAAATGACCCAGTATCACGCCCCCCCCCACCCACCAAGCAAGGACAAATACTAAGACCACACCTCATCCACTAAACCCCCAACTCCATGCCCCCCCCGCCTACTGCTGCCCCCCAATTCCCCCACTCCTCGCCATTCCCCATACCACCCCCAGAATCCGCGCCCCCTATCACCTCTACCCCCCTCCAAAACTCATCTCTCACACTCCCCCTCAACCTACATCCTTCCTCTTAATCTCCCTCCCACTCCTACTATCCTCCCCCACCCCCATTCCCCCCCCATCACAATCCATCACCTTATTCATCCCTCCAATTACTCTCCCTATAAATAAATTCCCCACCCTCACACCCCACACCACACCCAACACCACAACCCACACCACCAAACCACACCCCACACCCCCAACAACACACCCACACAACCAACCCCCACCACACACCACACCCACCCCCACCCCACACACCACACCCAACACCACCCACCAACCACCCACAACCACCACAACCCCCCACCACCCCAACCCACCCACCCCACACCCCCACCCACAAACACCAACCACACACACCCCACCCACACCCACCCCCACAACCACCCAACCCCACCCCACCCCCCACCACCCACACCCCACACACCACCCAACAACACACCACACCCCCAACACAACCCCACCCAACACCACAACACCACCCACCACCCACCCCACACCCCCACCACACCCCCCCCCACCACCCACCCAACACCCACCACACCAACCACCACCAACCCACACACCCAAACCCCACACACCCACAACACCCACCCACCCCCCACCACCCACAACCCAAACACCCACAACCACACCCCCCACCCCCCACCCCCACCCAACAACCACCCCAACCCCCCCCACCACACCCCCACCCACCACCCCACACCCCACCCAACCCCCCACCCACACCCCCCCCCCCCACAACCCCAACCCACCCCACCCACCCACCCCCCACACAACCCCACCCACACCCCCACCAACCCACCACCACAACCCCACCCACCCCCACACACCCCACAACCCCAACACCCAACCACACACCAACCCACCCCCCCCACCCACAAACCACCAACACCCCACACCCACCCCCACCACACCCACAACCCCACACCACCACACCCACCCACCCCCACCCCCACCCCACCCCACCAACCCCCACCCCCCCACAAACCACCACCCCAACCACCCCACCCCCCACCACCCCACACCACAACACCCCCCACCCCCACAACCACCACCCAACCCCACCACACACCACCCCACCACCCCCCAACCCCCCAACACCCACCCCCACCCCAACACCCCCCACAACCCCCACCCACCACCACACCCCCAACCCCCACCCCCCACCAACCCCACACAACCACACCCACCACACCCCCCACCACACCCCCACCACCCCACCCCACACCCAAACCACCCCACCCCCCACACCCACCACACCACCACCCCCACCCACCACCCCACCAACCCCAACCCCCCCACCCCACCCACAACCCCCACCACCCCACACCACCCAACACCCACAACCACACCACCCACACCCCCCACCCCAACCACCCCCACCCCACCCCCCCACCACAACCCCACCAACCACCCACCCCCACACCCACCAACACCCCCACACCCCCCACCACCCACCAACACACCCCCACCCCCACCACCCACACAACACCACAACCCACACACCCCCCACACACCACAACACCCCACCCAACACCCCCACACCACCCCACCAACACCACCCCACACCCCACCAACCCCACAACCCACCCACAACCCCACACCCCCAACACACCACACCCACCACCACAACCACCCCCACACACCCCCCAACCCACCCCCCCACCAACAACCACCAACCCCCACACCAAACCCAACCCACCCCCCCCCAAACCACCCCCACCCACCCACCCACACCCCCACCAACACCCACAACCCCCCCACCCCACACCCCACCCACCCCCACCAACACCCACCCCACCAACCCCCCCCCACACCACACCCCCCAACCCACCCCCAACACCCACACACCCCCACACCCCCCAACCACACACCCCACACCCAACACCAACCACACCCCCCCCCAACACACCCACCCACCCAACCCCCACACCCCACCCACCAACCCACACCCCACCCCACACCCCACCCCACCCAACCCACACCCCCCAACACACCCCACCCCCCCAACCCCACCCACACCCCACCCCCCCAACCCCCACCCACACCCCACCCCACACACCCACCCCCCACACCCCCCCACCCCCACCCACACCCCCCCCCCACACCACCACACCCCACACCCCCCACCAACCCCCCACACCCCACCACCCCACCCACACCCACACCCCACCCCCACCCAAACCCCACCCCCACCACCCACCCCCACCACACCCCACCACCCCCCACCCCCACAACCCCCCACCACACCCCACCCCACCCCCACCACCCACCCACCCCAACCCCCACCCCACCCACACCACCCACCACACCCACCCCACCCACCCACACCACCCCCACACCACACCCCCACCCCACCCCACCCCCCCACACCCCCCCACCCACCACCCCACACCACCCCCACCCCCCACACCCCCACCACCCACCCACAACCCCCCCCCCACCCCCCCAACACCCCACCCACCCCACACCCACCACACACCCCCCCCACACCCAACCACCACCCACCCCCACACCCACCACCACAACACCACCCACCCCCACCCACAACCCACCACACCCCCACCCACCACCCCCCCCCCAACCACCCCACCACACCACACCCCCCCACCCCCCCCACCCACCCCCACAACACCCCCCACCACCACCCCCCACCAAACCCACACCACCCCCAACACCCCACCCACCCCCACCACACCCCACCCACACCACCCCACCACCCCAACACCACCCCCACAACCACCACACCCACACCCACACCCCACACAACCACCCAACCCCCCCACACCCACCCCACACACCACCCACACCCACCCAACCCCACCACACCACCCCACCCCCCCACCACCACACCCACCACACCCCCACAACCCACACCCCACACCCACCCCAACCCCACACCCCACCCCCCACACCCACCCACCACACCACCCACACCACCAACACCCCCCCACCCAACCACCAACACCCCCCCACCACCCCACCCCAACACCACCCCACACCCCACCAACACCCCCACCACACCACACCCCACCCACCCCCCACCAACCCCACCCCACCACCACACCACCCCCCACCCACCCACCCCCCAACACACCCCCACCCCACCCCCCCCCCACACCCACCACCCCCCACCCACACCAACCACCCCCACCCCCCCCCACACCCACACCCCCACACCCCACCCACCCCCACCCCACCCAACCCCCCCCACACCCCCAACCCACCCCCACCCCACCCCCCCAACACCCCACCCCCCCCCAAACCCACACCCACCCCACACCACCACACCCCCCACCCCACCACACCCAACCACACCCCACCCACACACCCACACCCCCACACCACCCCACCACCACCCACACCCCCCCACACCACCCCCACCACCCACACCCCAACACCCCCCCCCCCCCCCACCCCCACACCCACCCACCCCCCCACCCCACCCCCACCCCACCAACACCCCACCACACCACAACCCCACCCCCCCCACCAACAACCCCACACCACCCCCCACCCCAACACCCCCACCCCACACCACCCACACCCCCACCCACAACCCCCCCAACCACCCCCACACCACCCCACCCACCACCCAACACCCACCCCCACACCAACACCCAACACCCACCCCCCACCACCCACACCCCACACCCCCACACACCACAACACACCCACCCCCCACCCCCAACACCCCCACCCACCCACCACCCCACACCAACCCCCCCACAACCACACCCCACCACCCCCCAACACCCACCCACCACCCACCCCACACCACCCCCCCCCACAACCCCACCCCACACCCCACACCAAACCCCCACCACCCCCAACCACCACCCCACCCACCCCACACCACCCCACCCCCAACCACACCCACCCCACACACCCCACCACACCAACAAACCACCCCAACACCCACCCCACCACACCCCCAACCAAACCACCAACACACCCCCACCCACAACCACCCCCAACCACACCCCCACACCCCCCCACACACCCACCCACACCCCCCCACCCACCCCCCACCACACACCACCCCACCCACCCACCCAAACACCCACCACCCAACCCCACCACCCCCCCCACCCCACCCAACCCCACCCACACCACCCAACACCCCCCCACAACCACCACCCACCCACCCCCCAACACACCCACCCCCACACCCACCCACCCCACCCACACCCCCCCACCCCCCACCCACCAACACCCACCCACCCCAACCCCCCCACCAACCCCCCCACACCCACCCCCCCACCACACCACCCACCACCCCCACCACCCACCCCCAACTACACCACCCGATCAACCCATATCCTTTCACTCATACCACCCATTCAACCACCCTTACCCACACCCCTCCCAAACCCCAAAAAAAACCCCCCACACCCCCTATCCAACAATCCCCAAAATTCATAACCTCACCACCCCCCTCACCCTCCAAAACTATTAATCCTCCATAATACCACTAATACCCACCCCCCACTTAACCCACCTATAGCTTAACCCCCCCTCAAATCAAATACACCGCACACCCCCCAATACCCATAACACTCACATCCCCCCCACATAAAATTAACACCCAAAACACTCCCATCCACCAAATCCACCAACCACCCCCCCCATAACATACCCCTATCCCCCACCTACAATCATACCCCCTAATAACATATAAAATCCCCTCAGTATAAAAATATCAACCAGACAATAAACATACCCACCTAACCACCACACTACCACACTCAACATCAAAACAACACACCTCCCCCCATATAACCCACACCATTCAACTCAAAAACAAATAAAAAAAAAAAAAAAAAAACCACCTTCCCCTCTAATACTCACCATCACATCCTATATCAAACTAATCATCAATGACCCACCATCCCACTTACAACATCCCTATTCACCACTAATACTAAAACCCCAATCAAAAAAAATCATACCATAAACCATTTCCACGCACATACAGAGACATCAACACAATAACACGAACCTCACAAATTAACATCACAAAATCTAACAATCCTGCGTCTTCCAACAAACTCTGCCAAGAGATTTACTTACCTCTCTATCTTATACATACTATAATAGCTGACCTGACACGCCCACACCTCTTACAACGAGGCTTCTGGCACAATTCACTATTACTGTGTGGTTTTAAGCTGGGCGGTCCCAAGAATTGCATTTTCTATAGATTTTATTGTTCTGACCAAAAAACAACTTGGATAATAACAAGTTTTTGCCACTTTAAAACATTACTCATAAAGCAATACTGCAAAACTACTTTAAAGCTCCAGTATGTTTACTTTTTAGCTGACACAATAGACAAATACAATGTTGTTTATTCTCTGTTAAATGACTGTTTTTATGGCGTTAAAATAGAGTAATAAAACATATTTCCTAACCGTGTGTAGGATGACTCCTCCGCAGACCTGACTCATGTCTTTTACTTCGAAATGCTGTTCTCTCACAACAATCTTACACAATATGATCAAAAGTATATTTCCGCATTTTTTTTTTTTTTTTTTTTTCATATTGGAACGATAGCTCTATAGTAGTAGTAGTAGTAGTAGTTCACGGTTTTTTTTCTACTGGATCATGCATTTCTGGAGGTGGAAAGTCACGTACTGTTGCTTTAATTCTGGGGTTCCAATCTTGTAAATAATACCTTCTGTTATTACTAGGGGTGGGAACCTAAGGGTACCTCACAATACGATACGATACAAAGCTCACGATAACGATATTATCACGATAACGATATTATCACAATAACGATATTATCACGATATGACGATTATCAATATATTGGTCAGAAATATACAATATGCCAATTTATCGCATAAATAAAAGAAAAAAATACACTTTATTTCATGATAAATGAAATGGAGATGCGTAATGTAGCCATATATTAAGTATTAATACCATTTTTTTTAATGGAAAAAAAAAAAATAATAATAATAATAATCGAATTGCAGGAGAAAGTATCCCGCGTCACACGCCTAGTTATTACCCAACAGAAAGAGCCTTGCAAAAGTAAAATGTTGTGGAAAATAATCAGACCACAACATGCTGTCTTCATCTTATTAGAAAACATTTTGCATACTAGTAATAAAAGGCCCTGTGAGTCACTAATTGACCCTTTGGGCTGGCCGAGTGAAGGTGGCTCTCTCTATTTCACTTTTCTGAAAAAGCTGATCTAAAGACGTGATAGAAGCCCAAAAGTTCATGTATTTTATAAAGAACTGAATTGTCTTGAGAGTAAGGTATTAGTTATATAGATTTTATTACACAGTTAATATTTTGAGGATCGCAATTTAGGTACCCCAGCTTTAATGAGACGAGCAGGTGTTGGAAAAGCACCTTTAGTTAACTACCTTTATAAGAATGTTTAATGTTATGGTGAATTTAGGGGCAACAAACAAGTGGCAAAACTAATTCAACCAGAGCAGAGCATGCACCGAAAAATGCCCATAGGTACCCCCCGAATGAAGGGTTGAAACGACCGCGCATCCCCCCGTGTTTCCACCAGCATCACGCCCCAGCCCGGTGGTTCTATCCCCGGGGCCTGTGCTCTCACTCCCTGCCTGCCTGGGCCTCACCTCGTCGGGGTCTGGGAACAGCTCGTCTCCGTCCTCGAGCTCCTGGAAGCCGCTGTGGTCCTGCGCCATGTCCCCGGGAGTGGGTGTGGGTGTGTGGGGTGTGTGTGTGGAGGTCCTGGAGGTCCCGGAGCTGCGCAGCGGGAGGGCGGACGGAGTGAAGCCGGAGAGCAGAGGAGGAGAACGGGATGCGAGCTGCTGCTTCCCCCGCTGTCATGTGATCGCGGAAGAGACAGGAGGTACCACTCTGCTCCCGGGAATGTGGATGAGTGGAAGTCAGGTGTGGAAGTTTATTTTTTCTTCTTCTTTATTGACTCAAACTCTTACAGAGGTGACCTGACATAGAAAAATAAAATAATGTATGCATTAACTTGGGGATAGTACAATTGAGGCATATCAGGTTAAACAGACACATAAGAATAGGATGCAGACATTTCTACAACATAAGAATTTAGACATGGGCGACAGTAGCTCAGTTGGTAGAGCATTGGCCTTTGGGCCTGAAGGTCGTGGGTTCGAGCCCACCGTAAGACCTTCTTCACGACTCCCACTGATGACTGCTGTCTTTGTGTCCTTGGGCAAGACACTTAACCCTACTTTGCCCAAAGCCCCAACTGAAAGATCTCAGCTCCTGTGGACTCACCACCTGCAGGAGGATCAGTGAGGGGCTGGTGCTCTGTGTACTGGGTGCAGAAGAAAAAAGAATTTAGACAGAGGCACAAATGTCTTTTGCAATGGCAGATTTAAGCAATTTTAGTGAGGAAAAGTAGATTCTGAAATCATTCGAAAAATGATTGAAACAAGGGCTTGACTTTCTCCATTGCTACAATGAATATGGTATTAATAGAAAAACAATACATCTGAAACTTTCCTATCTATAATCATTGACAAAATAGAATATGTGACACAATTCAAAATCAGGAATATCTAAAATGTTGAAGGAAAGCCACTCTCTGATGTCACTCCAAAATTTACGAGAGACTGAACAGACTTTAGTTTTCACACTTAAACCGTTTGAGAAGAAAATTGGTCACTGGATAAATTTTTGTGGCAAATCTTAAAGTGATTTTGTTTGATCAGGTGTGGAAGTTTGTCTGCTGCAGTGTTTGTTTGGACAATAATGATGTGAAATTACGTTTTAAGCTGCTTCAACCATTGTTAATTTTCCTTTCAAATGTACCTTTTATGTGTTGATCCAGGAATGGTCAGTGATATGCCACAAAGGACCATTAAAGCTAAGATACCTTACTTTTTTGTCGTCTTTTTCCCCCCTCCACAGAAAGAGTCGTGTTAAAGTAAACAATTCAGACCCTATGCTGCCATTAGAAAACGTATTTGAATAATTGTAAGACATAGCCCTAGTGAGTAATGTTTGACTCTTTGGGCTGAGAGCTGATTGGCTGAGTAATGGGGTCCTCTCATTTTCACGTTTCTGTCTGGAAAAAGTTGATCTAAAGATGTAACAGAAGCTAAACATACATGCATGTTAAAAGAAGTGATAGAAGAAAACTGTTTTGAGACTATAGTATAGAATTGTATTGCATTTGTGTGGTTTGAAAGGTCGCTTTAGTTTAGTTTTACTTGATATTTAGTTATAACTGGGCATGATTGCTTAATAGTCTTCTAGAAAATGTGAGACAGGCTTCTACTCTGATAATGTTCAAATTCAGGTTCTCTTGTTTTTGTAAAGCACTTTGAGTTACCTTGTGTATGATCTGTGCTATTCAAATAACCTTGCCTTGCCTAACAGATGTTTGATGTTGAGTTTGTTTATGGTCTGGTTTAAAACTGGATTGAAAAGCTAACTAGTCTCCAGTAATTCGTTTCATTCATTCATTTATGTTTTTTAAATATTTGACGAAAAATATATGGTCTTTCATTCATCAAAATATCTACTTTTTGTCACTGTATATAGTCTTCATGATCACTTTTAATGTATGTATTAATTACGTATTTAAGTAAGCTGAATTAATGTTCATATATGTTTATTCTTTGTAATATCACAGTTACAGTTTGATTTTCTAATTTTGACTTTATCTCATGGAATAACACCTGAAAAAATAGTGCGGCCTCCCAGAACGAACATATGACATTATGGGAGGTGAGGAGTATTTCTTTTACTTATATTTACGGCATTTTATTTAGTTATTTCAAATTTATGTCATATTACAAACTATGATATATGACAAATTCTTCATTACTGATCTCTAGTTCAGTTTACGACGTGGTTGCTCGTTAAGTTCCTCCCATGTTCCTCTCATTTACAACCAGGAAGTAAAATTATAAATATAGAATTAAAACGGGGATAGAATTTATTAAAATAATTAGCAGTGTTAAGTGTAATTATGGTAACTAAAGTCAAGTCAAGCCTGTCATAAGTATTTTAATTAATTATCATATTTCAACTGTCACGTATCTGCCAACCACAGTCATCTCTCCATAGACAATCTTCGCAACCCAAACCGGAAGGGACTCCTTTAATCGACGCACCGTGTTATGTTTTCATTCTTGTAACGAGCGTTTCAGGTTTATTCACGAAGAATCCTCTAAAACAAAATCAAAAGGTGTCGGATTGTGAGTGTTGTGTTGGGGCGTGTAGCCGTCATCATGGTAGCTGTAGCGGGAAGGTCGAATCCCCAAGCCTCGGTCTCCTCTACGGGAAATGGTGAGATGTTGCAGACTTTGGTGCCCTGACAGCGGGAAGGAAGAGTCACTCAAGCCCGAGACTATGGAGTTGATATAAACCTTATATTTAGTATATAAAGTTTAAGAAGTACTTTATTCTCAAACTGTTTAAATATCTATCATCTCCTAGTAATATATTCATGGCATATATTCTTTCATTAAATATTTACAAATATATTAAATTAACAACGTCATTGATATTAGTTGCTAATGATTTCTTTCAGTACAGATAAGACAGTGCTATAGACACAACTGACTGAAAATAAGACTGCACAAAAGCTCTCATCTACTCGTGGAGCCGCCATAGACTGTAAGTTATGGGTGCCACCTGAATGTGAAAGCTAGACTCAAAAGCTGTGATGGGAGACCTCTGAGAACACCAGGTGCCACAGTGTGTCTTTGGGCAAGACACTTTACCCACATTGCCTAGAATGAGTCTGGTGTGTATGTGCGCGTGCGAATGGTTGGATGGGCTGATGGCACACACTGGTGGCCTCACCTCTGTCAGTGTGCCACAGGGCAGCTGAGGCTACAGTAGTTTATCAGCATGGTGTATGGAGTGATAAAAGAATGCCATGTGAAGGAAAAAAAAGTGCTGTTGAAAAGTCAATTCACAAAAAAATGTATGCAGACGTAGCACAAATGTTTTCAATAAAATACTGATGAGTTGATCCAGCTTGATTCAAGTCTGCTTCTAAATGTCTCCATTGATTTGCCTTGAATTTGTGTGTGCCGTTTTTCCATAAAATCTGCCTGATTAAATAATTAATCAACTCATAAAACTTTTAACATAGAATCCATCGACCAATAAATCAACTAAATGACTAAAAATGGGTTATTACAGCGTGCTCTCCACTTCTTTTTTTCACAAATGTTCCATTTGTTAAGATAAGATAAACTTTATTGATCTCACAATGGAGAAATGTACATGCTGTATTATAATGAAAATGTCTGTTTCACCTCCCACCTATCCATTTTCTGTACTTGAGATTACTCAATCTGAAGGATTTTGCATAGTGTCTCCTTTAACTTCTTCTCTGGGGGTTTCTCTCGCTGCAGATGCCGAGTCCAGGGGCCAGTGTGCAGTGGCTAGAGAGACAAACACAGACCCAGACTGGGAGGATCAAATCCAGACCATGTTGGAGTCCGGCTCCAAACTGAGCGAGGATTTTAATGCTCTGAAACTGCAGCAGCAGCAGGAGGAGCTGGACTTCATCAAGACCAAGAGCGAGCTGACCAAGAAGAGAGACGAGGCCGTCAAGCAGAACAAGGTTTTTATCTCTGACTCTGGGTTTTATCAAGAGCTCTGCTGTAGATTTATGAGGAAGCAACATTTGAGCTAAAAAACGGAAACTTCGGCTTTAGACGCGAGGAGCGACAACAGGAGAATTGACAATTTTGGCAAAATATTTATTAAAAAGCTATTTCTAATCAATTTATTTTTGTATAGCCCTAAACCACAGCAGTCGTTATCTCTAAAGACTTTACAAAGTTGTGGATTTGGCAACACAGATCAGAGAATCTTACACCCATTAAATATTGTATCTGTGATTTCGATTTCTTATTAATGTTTTATGTAATATCATTTGAGGTTATAAGAAAAAAGGTGTAATTGTAAAAAAAGTTGACTATGGGTGGGTCAATGTATTGATGGAATAAGATTTAGTTTGTGTCTCTGCCGTTTGGATCTGTTTGGCCAAATATGGAAGTAATTAACCCTTGTGCTATCCTGGAGTCAAATGGACCCTCCTATGCTTAAAAAATACCCTAAATATAATTTTTTATTGCTGAATTTTGAGCTTTTGAACTTAACCAGCCCTGGGTCATTTAGTGATTAGGACTTAATTTGGGCCTGACAAGCAATGGCTAAACTGTGGCCAAAGGAGGGTAGTTAAGGCACAACCAGCGGAGTATCGTCCGGTCATGCCCCGTCCTCTTCTGTCCTCAGGCTTTTGTGGAGAAGATGGAGTCTGTGAGAGTCAAGCTGCAGCTGAACAACTCCAAAGGCATGAGGAAGAACTTCATGACCAAGATACAGGAAGTGACATCAGAGAAGAAACTAGCCCAGGAACAACGAGACAAGTGAGGCCCCGCCCACAAACACACACAAACGCACATCTCTTTGGACTACAGAGAGGGAGAGAGACCAGAGAGGGAGAGAGACCAGAGAGGGAGAGAGACCAGAGAGGGAGAGAGACCAGCGAGGGAGAGAGACCAGCGAGGGAGAGAGACCAGAGAGGGAGAGAGACCAGAGAGGGAGAGATATTTCATTGTTTTCTGGTGTATATAAAATGTATGTGTTTGCTTCTAGTTTTCACGGTGTTGACTGATGGAAAGACTAAAAGTTTTATTTATTCTTTATCATGACGTCCTTTTAAAGTAGATGCACCGGAGGCAGTTGGAGTCGGCGTTCTCTAACTCCACTGCGTTTGTCCCGCAGGCTGCAGGCAGAGCTGGCCGAGGCGGAGGCACAGCTGATGTCTCTGGAGCAGGAGCAGGTGGAGGAGCAGCGTCAGTGGGACCAGGAGCTGTCAGAGCTGCGGAGCCAGATTGAGCAAGCTCGGAAGGAGGAGAGGGAGGCCCAGAGCAAAGCGCAGAGGGACGAGCGAGCGGCTGTGGAGAAGGAGAGGAACGAGGCCAACGTGCGCTTCACGACGTGGATCCAACAGGTACAAACACGCACAAAAACACCTCTGCAACTCCATAGCAGAAGAGACTTGAATTTGGCAGGAAAAAAAACCCAATGTACCTTTTGACAGAGAATATAGACACTCTAAAGGCTAACCGCGAGATAGATTTCCTGGCCCCAGAGAGAGCGAGAGAGAGAGAGCGAGAGAGAGAGAGCGAGAGAGAGAGAGCGAGAGAGAGAGAGCGAGAGAGAGAGAGCGAGAGAGAGAGAGCGAGAGAGAGAGAGCGAGAGAGAGAGAGAGTGAGAGAGATGTCTGTTGAAAAACTCCCTCCTTGCTCCAATTGGCTGCCATCCCACCAATCATGCACCATCCTCTTCCAAGTCCAGCCCACAGCAGCTTCACACACAAGCAGAGAGAAGAGAGCAACAGCACACACACACACACAAACAAACAATGCACGTAACTATTCCCCTCATTCAGCTTATTTCAACTCAATGTATTCCTGTATAGCCCTAATCACAGCAGTAGTTATCTCAAAGGACTTTACACCACTGTTTAATTCACCAACACAGATCAGAGAATCAAACCGTTCAACCACCAGAAATAAAACAGAAGACACATTGGTATTGGTCCGTAAGAGGCAGATGTCCAATGTCCATAAGTGTTGATAAATGTCCATAATAATTTCTCCGCAACTATAAGTCTGTTTGAAACACAGATCATTTTGCAGGTGACAATCCAGAGAACATGTTTGTATTCCAATGTGGTTTTACCGCAAATGGCAAATTAACTGAATCTTGAGTCTGCGAGGTGTGTGTGAGCAGTTAGAATTGACTGTTTTCAGCTTTGTGCTTTGATTCCTGCACTGTGTTTTGAATTAAGCCAGGGGAAAAGGGAGGGAGATATTATGTAGATATTATAAGATAGATGGATAGATGGCTTGTTGACCTCAATTTAGATTCAATAAACAGAAGAAAATCCAAGAAACGAGGGTCAAAGGACATACATTCATTGGCTAATTTCTGTGAACTTTGGTTAATGTGTTCACCTTTATTTTACCAAGGACTGTTCAATGTTCATTATTCTAATCTGCTGCTTTTTTGTGAAGTCCTTGGAGACAACTGTTGGATTTGATTATAAATGTTGGATGTGCAGGTGGGCCTGTACCTGGCCGCGGTGCGCGACAGGCGGCCTCTTCAATACAGGCAGGAGAAGGATCTGTGGGAGGGCATAGAGACCAGGGTGAGTCGAGACCACGCGGAGGTCCTGGCCAGTTTCACCGAGCTCCTACAGCAGCTGGAGAGAGGCCGCGAGCTGTGCAGCCTGACCCCAACACGCGCCCCGGCCAATCTGCCACTTGTGCCCCTGGTGAGTGCCGTCGAGTTGTGCTCCCTCAGCTATTCATGATGTAATGCAAACCTGCGCGTCTCACGGCAGCCGAAGCAAACCAAGATGGAGTTTAAATACGAACAAATGAAGTCACAAATTACACTTTTAATGCAATTTCGGGCGAGATGTTGATGGTTCCATTTTGTGATATGTGGGTTTTGAGAGAGGTTTTAAGTTTCGTGTAAAGTTGAAGTTGTAACCGCACCTGTCAGACCACACTGCTGCTGTGTGATAGTCCCTTTCCTGTCGAGTTGAACTGCCGCATACGTAATTTTACTGACTAATGAGCTGACGGGACACCTGATAGCTTACAACTTAGATGTTGTTTATTATTTCCATTATCAACCCGACAGACCAGTTGAAAGCTAACAGCTGTCGAGTTAGCCACAGAATGAGTCATCGGTGCAGTAGTTCAACTCGACAAGATGACTCTCACACAGCAGCAGCGTGGTTTGTGTCCTGCAAATATATAAACATAACTATACAATCAGGCAACAATATTTGGCCAAGTTTGTTACACATTGCAGCGTAAATGAGCATGACCAGTAAATCCCAGTGCGTCACAGCGCCGCCAACAGGCCTGGCGTAGTTTCACCGTGTTTTTAGACGTTCATTCACGTGAACGTAAACATTTACTGAGCTGGCTCTGTGTCCAGAAAACGTTTCTGAAACTTTGACTTTGTGGATGATCTTTTCCAGCCCCCGGCCCCTGCCCTGCTCCCCACACCCACTCCCATCCTGCCCATGCCTCTTCCACACCACATGCCTCCTCCACACCACGCCATGAGACTGCCTTTTGCTCCGCCACGACACGCCCTCAACCCCATGCCACAGTTACCACGGCAATACTTCCCACCACCGCTACTTCCCCACCCTCCACCACGCTTCGTTATGAACCCACCTCCAGTGCATACCCCGCCCCCTCGGACTCAGACTCCGCCCACTGTCACCTCTGCTCCTGCTGCTGCTGCTCCTGCTGTTCCTTCCTCTATAGCCACAGCCGTAGAGACGCTGAGCAAACTGATGGACAAGATGAAGGCTCAATTCCCGCAGTGCTCGGATGTGGAGCTGAAGAAGCTGCTTCAGCAGGTGAGGCAGAGAGCTTTATTTTAACATCTTTGTGCTGTTTCCAGTTCATTTGAACCCCTGCTCACACTGTGTTTATGTACGAGGAAAGTCATCAGGGTCTCGTACAGGGCCACAGTGTATCATAGTTCTTTTGCTGTTTATTTTAATTACTGCAACAAAGGACTACAGCAGCCAGAAAGTTATTAATATGAGGAATGAAAGAATTGGGATGACAGTGGCTCAGTTGGTAGAGCATTGGCCTTTAGGCTGATGGTCATGGATTCGACCCCCCCATGAGATGTCAGCTGTTGTGTCCCTGGGCCAGACTCATAACACCACTTTGCCTGAATCCCCCACTTAAAAACCAAAGCTATGTCGTCACTGACTGAGCAGCCATCCTCCTGTGGACTCTCCACCTGCGGGAAATGAATTAAAGGGAGGTGAATGGATGGAGGGTACTCACTTGTGAGGGATTAAAGGTTGTGCTTGGAGTTTGGGTGATGTCTTTTTTCTTTTTGAGAATCATCAGAACTATTGGCCTAGTGTCATCAGTTAAGGAGCATGTATGTAAGTCAAACAGAAGTGGACCCAGAATTGAACCCTGGGGAAGACCACAACAAAGGAAGTTGGATTGGGCATTTCTATGTTTGTTTGTCCTTGTAGCTGTTTTTTTATGCCATTATTCTGCGCAGACCTCAAGGATTCATTTATGTGGATTTGAATGACTTTGCAAAAATAGTTGGTTGAGTTTATTGTGTCCAGAGAAAAATGGTGCGAATATATAATTTATTCAAAACTCTTTAAGCTGAGATGCCCATCTGTAAATTCTGTGTTTCCGCTCAAGAAGTCTATGGTTCATGATTCAGTGATCTCAGTTTCCCCTTTTCCCAACAGGTGAAGACGGAGCGTGGCACGTTGTCCAGGCTCTCGATGGATGAAGTGATTGAAATGGTCAGAGTCAAAGTGGAGGCAAACTCTGCGACCCTTCCATCGGCTGCCGCACCTGCCCCACAGAAACCCTGCCTCATTTGCCAAAAGGCCGTTGAACCCGGGGCCAAGTGGGAGGTTAACTGTTCCCACACGATGCATAAAGAGTGCATTCAGGTGTGGCTAGAGTCCAGTAAAAGTAACAACTGCCCCTTTTGCCCTAAGTGACTAAAACTACCCCAAAAAAATGTTGTTGCTTGGAATGGGCCTCTGTATGATGTCAAACTTGTACATTATGTAATCACACATTATTTTACTGCTCCAAAATCCGAATTATTGCATTTAATAATTAAAACTTAGCTTGCGTGATATAATTTGCCCCATTCTATCACAACTAGTGGTGAAAACAACCCCCACTGATGATGTAGTTCCTTTGTCTGCTGTTAAAAGTGACAAAATACTCACATCAACCAGTTTCCCTCCTCTGAGTCCAATAATGACATAAGAAGCTGCAAGATCTCGTAACTTACATGTTTGGTTTATTTTGTGTAATGTTAAAATAAAAAACTGAACTGACCTTTTCATGGAATGCCTTTATGCCTTTAGTAGCAGTAGTTTTGGCTGTGAGTGAAGAAACGGGAAATGGGAACCCAGGACTACAGAAATATAAAGCAGATATTGTACATTTGATCGCTACCCCTGCATTTTTGTTAATGTTTCATCGTATCAAATATATTTTCATTGTATCTAATATTTGATTATTTCCATGTGGCCTTGTTTGGGCAAATGCCACAAGGCTGAAATGTGTGCAATAAAGTTGATCTGTTAAAAGCTTGCAGAGTGTGAGATTCTTCTTACTTTAGTATTTTTTATTCCATTTAAAAACTGACATGCAAATACTGTGTGTTAATGCCATATGAACCAACTCTGAAGAGCACAGGGACTGGCCTCCTGCTGGTGCCCTGTCAGGACTACCATGGGCAGGCAGCATTTCAGATTTATCCAGCTAAAAGTCTTCCTGAAAATGTGAGACTGGATTTCATACTGACATGGTTCAAATCCAGATAAAAAACTGTTCAGTTTAGCTGTGCAGACAACTGAAGGATTGTGTCTTCACTCTTTTGAACTCATTGCCTGCCAACCTATTTCAGAACAGGTACTCCTGTATTGCTAGCAATTTCTGATGATTTTTATTGATTTTTCAAGACCCACAGGATAATGTGTACTATGACTGAAATCCAAAACCAGATTCTGAAAGAATGGACTGTCTACTTTCACCAGAAAAAAGAATTTTGTCTCAAGCGTGTTTTGTTCCCTTGTAATCCCCAGTCGAGTAGAGGGAAGTTTTACTGAAATCACCCTTCTCTGACAAAAAGCTGAGAGTAAGAGGATGCAACAAGTGCATCCTGTTTTCAAGACATACAGAGGCAGCGCTGCTGCCACCTGCTGGCTCGGTAGAATATGCTCTAAAGCTAATTCCCATACATATTAGATACAATAGACATCCGGGAACATGAAAATAGCGGAAAACTCAATTGACGGTTTAAGACGTCAAAGAGTTTTAATATACAGTGATTATTTATTATTTCAATGTTTCTGTTCTTCTTTTGCTAAGCACTTTGAGTTGACTTGTGTATTAACTGTGCTACACAAACAAACTCACTTTGCCATACTACTGTTTCTACCACCACTACAACATTTTAAAACATGAAATGGCAGAGTCGATATTTGCTCTAAGGCAAATATCATGCTCTAAGGCCAAATGAGCACACATAACTCACACTATTTGTTCTTCACACCTTGCGATTCATCCCACAAACGCACATAACCAACAAATTGCTCTGCCCTTGGGAATCTCACCCAGGACCTGCTCTCCTCTGTCCGCGCTTGTGTAAGTGCTGTGTGTGTTTATTATAACTCGGAGGAGGCTGCGGTTGATGCGATTAGACGCGTGGACGACGGAGCGATCGAAGCTGATCCCGGCTCCACGGTCCATCGTTATCTCAACACAACAACTTTGCCGCCATCTTTGTTTCCCCCGCCGATCAATAACTCTCGGCCATCATTCCCGCGCCTCCCAAAGTCCAGCAAAAGTGAATAAATGAGACGCAATCGATAAAAATAATTTGGCTCGTTTTGTAAGTTTTGTAATGCTGATAATTTGAGGATGTTGTTGATGCTGAGGAAGAGGAGACTTTTCAAATGTTTGGTGTTAAGTGTTTTAAGGCTTGAGAGTTTAAGAGCTTCTTTTATCCTTGTGTACCCCTCAAGTGTACAAACTGTATGTAGATGTACAATACTAACCCGCTACCTAGCTCAAGGAAGCCCAAGCGCTCCTAGACAAAGTTGAACTCCAACTATTGACTTACATTGAAAAGTAAACTCCTCTTGCTTAGTAACCGTTTATTTCTCTCTATTCTGCTCTCTGTGATCCTGGTGTTTATATTACAATATTGTCTTGGTAAATCCAGATGAGCCATATAAGGATTGACCAATCAGATGCCTTCAATCTTGTGGAAAGTCCAGCTTACTATCTTTGCAATACGTCCCCCCTACAGCCCGAAAGCTAACGCTATCGCAACGAATACTGTCATGTCATGTCATTTTCTACCCCTTTATTATTCCATTTCTGGGTCGGGATTGCCACCCAAGTCTCAATGCACCAGTCCCTCGCTGATCCTCCTTGCAGGTGGTGAGTCCACGAGATGATGGTTTCTCCGTGATCGAAGACATGGCCTTGGCCTTTCAGCGGGGGCTTCAACAAATACTCATATAAGGAAATTGGCTCCAGCTATCTTTTATTCAAATCAGCTTCTTCTGCATTTTGCAAACACTAACCCTAACTGTTATAAGACAAGAACGTTCTTTATAAATCATCTTATACATTTGAGTATTTTGTTTCACTTAGATTTTTTCATCTTTGATATTCCTCTCTTTTTGGCTTGAGCTAACTAATAACTTGTTACATTTTATATATTATTGTGTTGCTGATATTTTTCACAACATCACATCCTCCAGGCTTTTCAGAATCTCTGGCAACACGCAGCTCCAGGATTACTCAAACAAGTGATAATCAATGGGACTAAAACTTAGGGTAAGATAATTGTGACAAGGGATCTCTGCTCTAAGGTGAGACGCTCTTTAAAGTCGATCTTACATAACACGTTCTCTTTAATTTCCTGCTGAAAAATGAGTGAGGAGGAATCGGCTCGGGGGAGGGGGAGCAGCTCAGGACTCCAGGGACAGAATCATTCTCCTGTAAAATGTCAGAGGAAAAATAACGGCATCGATCGCTTTCTGTCAACAACAAAACAGCTCCTACTGACAGACGAGAGCCACTAATGAAGCAGGACTAAAACAGGACCGACCCCGGACTGGAACCCGGACTGGCACTGGTCTAAACAAGGAATGAAACAGGACTAAACAAGAACTCAAACAGGAGTAAATCAGAAAAAGGCCCCTTGTGAATGTGGGAGACATTTGTTTTTGCACTCAGCTGGCACCTGGAGTTCCCAAAGATCCCCCATCACAGTACTCATCAGGCTCTGCTCTGCTTAGCATCAAAAGTCGGCCAGTATCAGGCTTTCACATGCTGGACCCATATGCAATACTTTTTCAGTTATTGATAGAAAGAATCATAAAAGAGTACTATTGTGGTGACACTAAATCCTGTTGATGTGAAGGGACAAGATCAGGAAGTTGGTCGACTTTTAAAGATGTTGAACGGTTGTAAACTTTAATGCAGTCATATTGACTTGGTGGCATTCACTGTGATCGCTGTGATTCAAAAGACAAGCAGGGATAAGTCTTGTGAGAGGAACTGAAACAGAGGCCTCCTCTGGACACCTTTGGTACTGCACAGAGGAGGGGTAGGTGCACCTTGAGGTGCACCAAAAAAAGAGCCAGATGCGTGAATAAGTAACATGTTGTGACTATGTTGCATTGGCACGGAACAAAATAAAAACCTCAGGAAGGCCCACACTGAGAGAGGGATCCACTCCCACGGACGGGCTGTCTGTCCGTGGGAGTGGATCCCTCTCTCAGTGTGGGCCAGGACTCAGGCTGTACAGGAAAGACTGAGGAGGCTCCTAGGCAGGAAGTAGGGTGCAGCCCCCAAGTCCGGGCCAGGGGGGACCAGTTCACAGGCACTGATCAAAGAGTCCGGATTCTTGGGTCCCAACATCACGCCATGAAACAGACAATGGGACAGTGGGTGAATAGCAATGAACAGGCTACGCCTGAAGTCGTGTGTGGTTAATGCTAAGTATGAGACGGATTATATGAATGAATATTATAGTAAAACGTGACGAAATGTAGTTTAAAAAGATTTTTAGACAATACAAAACACCTGCTTAAATTCTCTGGCCCTGAATGGCGCCTGTTTTTTACCGTTCAGGCAGAGTTCAGACCCGTTCCAGAGCTGTCCCTCTCATCTGTCCGTCGGCGGTGACAGCGCCGGTGTAGTTAAAGGTTGCGTGGTGCCGGATCCATCACGCGCACCCGTCACTTTCACTAAATGCCTTTGATGAATGACGCCCCACGGCTCGTGCACGCGCTGGCCACACGAGCGCGCGCCTCTCGTTACGGCCTGTCATCTCCCAGCATGCACCGCGGCACAGCGCTGTCAATTAAACGTGATTGACTGAGGAGGCGGCGGGCGCGAGCAAGAAGCCGACACAAAAATCTATACGTGAGCCGCCTGTCACCGCACGCACACACACACAACACAGACACACACACACACCTCTGCCTGCGCCCTGCTAACAGCCCGTTTACCCCCCGCGCTCCTGTTACAGAACCGCGCCGTGCCAATTAGAGTCCGAGTGAGCGCTCCTGTGAACAATAAAACATCTCTAATCCATCTCGGTGAAAGGCGCGTTATTCTCGCCTCCATCGCTCCTTTAGGTGCTTTTTCTGAGCTACCTGTGCAGCCTTCCGCTCCTCTGCGTCAAATGAACGTCCGACACCAAATTGCTCCGGGAAAACGATGGCGCCCACTTTGGAGATGCACTCTCAATAGCTCTCAATAGCTGAGAAGAAATAGGAAGAAACCTCTTGTTTGGGTCAAGATATGGAAAGTCGCCGGCCTCAGGGATCCAGTACTTCTATCTCACTTTTCTAGGACAAAAAGGGCAGAGTTACTTTTCTCCTGTGTCCTGATTGGACGAAATGAGTTCAAATCCTCATTGATTGACGAGCTCTCTCCCCATTGGTCTAACTTTTCTCCTTCGATAAATATTACTTGTGGTGATTATGCCAAGATGACTGTTTAAAATATATTATTTCACAAAAGACTTTTACATTACAGAACAGAGCCAGGGAGATCTTACTTTATAAATTAAAAAAGTAACTTTACCTTTAAGCATTCTGGAGGAATAACGGTGATTGCACTCCTGAAAAGAAGTTAGGAATCTCAGCTGTAATATCTTGCAGGTCAATAGGTCAATGTGTCAATACATTTATTGCTGTGGTTTTAAGTTATCAAATATGTAAATAGTAATAATAATAATACTTTAATTAGATGTAGGGCTCGGTAAACGTCAGTCTAAATCTTTGGTTAGTAAAAAAGCATTTTTTAGGAGATGAAATTGTCCTTGTTGTGGCAGAAATAATGAACAAAAAAAAGGTACCAAAAACAAGCTGTTTCATCTGATAAATATTTAGCATAGCATTTGTCAAAAAATTTTTGGGAAGAAGTTGGAAGAGGGTTTTTGAAACTCTATTAAGCATTGGAAGCCCCTGAGTTAGGGCGCATACACAAATTGAGTTTAAATTTTGAGTTAGAAGGAGCAGCGGCTATAGTCCGAGCTGCACACTCCCTGCCCCCCAGCAGAGGTCAGAGAGGGACAGATCGTGGACATGAAACCACATTCATCTCGCTCAGTTTTAAACGAGCTCCTCTTCTGTTAATGAACGACTCGTTGCTTGGGCTTTGAGCTGTGATTCTTCAGCCGCGGAGTGAGGAACGAGCATCGACGCTGCACCAGCATTAGTCTGGACCCCAAAGACCGGCTCCAGGACTCCGCAGACCTGGCCCCCGTCTCCCTGGACCCGGTCTGGAAGCGGTTTATGGAGAATTTATGGATTCTCATCAATAACTGGCATTAAGTGACACGGACAGAGCTCATAAAGAGAGTGGTTAAAAATGAGGCCATTTCCAGGATCAATAAACCAAATGTTTCTCACATCCACAAACCGCTCTTCTCTTTTGTGCTGCGTGCGGCTTTTGGAATCATGAAGAAGGACTGTGATGGATTCATGTTTAAAAATATGAAAGAGCTATGAAAGAGCTATTAAAAGCTTCAGAGTCAGGTCTGAACATGGAAAGGCAGCATTTCAGATTGATGCTGCTCAAATCTTGAACAGTCTTCCTGAAAATGTTAAAATCCAGGTTAAAACAGTTCTGTTTAGCTGTGAATACAACTGAGAGATTGTAGCTTTAATCGTTTTAATGTACTGTGATTATCTGGCCTTGTATTGCTTGTATTTTGTTTTGTTATTTCTTTCAAGAGATGGGACTGCACCTCTTGGCAGTGGTCTGTGCCCTACAAATGCATTGCAGGACCTGGTTAGCACTGTGATGGGAGACCTTTGGAAACACTGGGTGCCACAGTGGGGCGGCTGCGGCTTTAAAGTGCCAAGCTGTTTTTGTGTCCTTAGGCAAGACACTTCACCCCCAATGCTTGAAATGAGTCTGGAGTGAGCGTGAATGGTTGAAGAGGTTCAGAGAGGTCTATGGCACATACTTGCTGCCTTGCTTCTGTCAGTGTGCCCCAGGGCAGTAGCAGTAGATGAATTGTCTTTGAGAGTCCAAAAAAACGGATGCATTATTGTATCTTGCAAAAAAATGAACAACTGACATCAGAAGAGTGAACAAAGAAATAATAATGATCCACTGGTTGTGAATGTGCCAGATTTGACAGATTTTTTGCATAATTGAATACAGTTTTCAGCTCCTTTCATCCCATAAATTCCACATCTCTCAGCACATGTTAATAATGATAATTGTAAATGAAATACAAACACGTTTTCTTTGCATCTTAAAAACTTCTTTATTTAATTATTTTCACAGAATTCTTTCAGAATCTCACAAGTGCTGGACCCTTCGTCGTTTCCCAATACGCCACAGAGAATACTGCATAGATAAAAAATAAAAAATGATAGAAAACTTTAAATACTGCTGCTGTTATGTACACAGTGGTTCAAAAAACACAAAAACAAGCCACACTTTCAACACATAAATAATCCAGCAAAGACCTTTTCAAATCAAGACTTTGCTTCATAATAATAAAAAAGTCGAATGTGCGTGTGTCAGATTCTCTCCGGTCCTAAAATGTTCAACAGTGGGAGAATGAACAGTTAAATTGAAGACAAACAGAAACAAAAATTGAAATTACAAACTGAAAGAAGCAATCAGTTTTAAACATTGACAAAGTTTATGTAATGTAATGATTATAGTTGTGCTTGTGTGACCGTTTGAGGCACTTCAGAACACGGCTCACGGAAATAAAAGCTGAAAAATGCATATGAGGCGACTCTGAGGGGCACAGGGACTGGCCCCCTGCTGGTGACTCTGAGGAGCACAGGGACTGGCCCCCTGCTGGTGACTCTGAGGAGCACAGGGACTGGCCTCCTGCTGGGACTCTGAGGAGCACAGGGACTGGCCTCCTGCTGGTGACTCTGAGGAGCATAGGGACTGGCCCCCTGCTGGTGACTCTGAGGAGCACAGGGACTGGCCTCCTGCTGGTGACTCTGAGGAGCACAGGGACTGGCCCCCTGCTGGTGACTCTGAGGAGCACAGGGACTGGCCTCCTGCTGGTGACTCTGAGGAGCACAGGGACTGGCCTCCTGCTGGGACTCTGAGGAGCACAGGGACTGGCCTCCTGCGGGACTCTGAGGAGCACAGGGACTGGCCTCCTGCGGGACTCTGAGGAGCACAGGAACTGGCCTCCTGCGGGACTCTGAGGAGCACAGGAACTGGCCTCCTGCGGGACTCTGAGGAGCACAGGGACTGGCCTCCTGCTGGTGCCCAGAGTCAGGACTAAACATAGAGAGGCTGCGCTTCAGATTTATGCAGCAAAAATCTGGAACAGTCTTTCTGAAAAAGTGAGAAAGGCCTTTACTCTGACCATGTTCAAATTAAAGTTGAAAACAAGGATTGTATCTTTACTCTTTTTTTAAAGATTATTTATGATCTGGAAACCTTGTGTTAGAGATCATCTATAGATCTAGTGGTGTCCTGACACTGCTACTTCCAAATGCAGTAGCAATGCATTTCTCATTCCAAAATTGTTTTAAACACAGTCAAAATGAACTCAAGATACATTCTGACTAATGCCTTACTTTTTGCCCCTTGTAAAGAGAACGCTGTTGTTTTTATGTTCAAAGATTCAATGAATTTAACGCTGTTTAAATACTGTAAAATACGCAGCCATTTCACGTTTTTCACGACTTTGCAAAGCAGCGAATGCACGTACATCAGAGAGTGTTTCTCAGATGTCGCCACAGTCCAGCCTCTTTGGGAATCACAGTAAATCAATATAACATTTAATGAAAAAACAATTGTCCAGTTAGCAGCTGACGGACTGATTAAAGCTGGGGTACTCAACTTTTTGTCACACCAATATTTACATCCAACAGAAATTATCTTGTTGAAATTAAACCACAGCATGCTATTTTCATCTAATCAGAAAAAATCCAGAGCCACGAGAGTCACTATTTGACACTTTGGGCTGAGACCTGATTGGCTGAGGGAGGGTGGTCTTCTCTTTTTCACTTGTCTGTCTGTAAAAGCTGATCTCGAGATGTGACAGAGGGAAAAATCCATGGATGACAGACTAATGACAGAATCGAACTGTTTCAAGAGCGAGGACATAGTTACATAGCTCCATGTTTTGTGGTCTGAAAGTTACGTACCCCAGCTTTAAAGGAATGAATAAATACTAAATAACACTGAGTAACTGAGTACATTTATGTGAATTGGGTGCTGATGATTACGCACTCTGTAACATATTAAAACCCAAGACCATAAAAAAAAAGATTGAAATGAATTTTAAACATTGCTGCTCCGGATCTTTCCTTTGGCCCCGCCTCCTGGACTCGTTCCTTTCCTGCTTGGCGTGCTCTGATTGGCCGTCGTCCCACTACCACTACTACAACTACTACTGCTACTACTACTATTACTACTGCTACTACTGCTACTACTGTTGTTATTACTGTGATTGCTGTTTCCACTGAGTGTCTCCATGATGGACCTAAACGCCCCGAATGATCTCTTCTTGCTCGGCTCCGCCTCCTGCTGGCCCGGAGTGGTACTGTTGTTTTTGTGGATCATCTGTTCGTCAAATGTGACCCTGAGTTTGAGGTTCTGGGAGGTTTTGCGGCGCGACGAGGGGGATTTGAGGGCGCTCTTGGGGCTGGTGGCCGCCTTGTCCTCGGTGCTGATGGTGCTGGAGTCTCCGGTCTGGTCGCTGAGGGAGTAGCAACTGTCGGCGGATTTGGACTCGCGCAAGGAGAAGGCAGATTTGCGCAGGTCTGAGGATGAGGAGAGCGAGTGCGGGAGGTGCTTCTTCATCATGAGCTGCAGGTGGTCGGGGACGGACTGGTCGTCAGAGAGGGGCAGGTGGGAGGGGCGTGGGGCGGGGGCGAGTTTCACCTCCTCAGGCAGGATTCCATCTGAAGCAAACATGTCGGGAAAAAAAGAATGAGACTTTCAATATTGAGTCTTATATGCAACAAAGGACATGCTAGCTGCTGTTAGCTTAGTTCACTGCATTTTTTGCCTTTTTATTTTACTTGTTTGAGTAAGTATTATATATTTATCTGTTTGAGCATCTGTTAAAACACATGCAAGACATTCAACTCATAGGGTCGGTCAATTGCAAAGTGAGTGATACAAATATTAAAAAGGAGTACACTCAGAACTCGAAGCTCAAACGGAGGAGGAAGTTTAAAACGTATGGAAACCTACCGCTCTTGAATTATCTAAATATATAAATCTAAATATATATTTCTAGCAAATTCAATAAACAGATTAACTAGTCACATACAATATGAGAAACAACAGTCGTTCAGAAAGAAGTAATTTCCCTTGTGGCTCAATAATATTTGTCAACGTAACAAACATTAAACAGAACTATGAGGCTGGAGGCTGTAGTTTGAGGTCTGCTGAACTACAACTGTTGAACCAAAAACCTTCAGGACTTTGTAAACAGGAAAACTGTTGATTTTGTTTCTCGACATATAGTTCATTGGTCTTTGTGTTACAATCTCTCACCTCTGTTTGTGTGTCGTGCTATAATACGTTTCAGCTGTTGCTGTGGCCTCCCTCAGAGGTGTCTAAAGCAGGACTAAAGCAGGTCTAAAGCAGGACTAAAGCAGGACTAAAGCAGGAATAAAGCAGTATTGAAGAAGGACTAAAGCAGGTCTAAAGCAGGACAAAAGCAGGTCTAAAGCAGGACTAAAGCAGGTCTAAAGCAGGTCTAAAGCAGGACTAAAGCAGGTCTAAAGCAGGACTAAAGCAGGACTAAAGCAGGACTAAAGCAGGACTAAAGCAGGAATAAAGCAGTATTGAAGAAGGACTAAAGCAGGTCTAAAGCAGGACAAAAGCAGGTCTAAAGCAGGACTAAAGCAGGTCTAAAGCAGGTCTAAAGCAGGACTAAAGCAGGTCTAAAGCAGGACTAAAGCAGGTCTAAAGCAGGACTAAAGCAGGACTAAAGCAGGTCTAAAGCAGGACTCACAGTTGCTCTGGCCGTCTCCGCTCACGTTCTCGGAGTCTGACTCGCTCATGGTCCGCTGGTTCAGGTTTTTGAAGCGTGCCAGTTTGAGGGCGGTCCTGCGGGGGCCTCCAGGGGGAGCCGGAGGTAAAGGGGCGTCACGGCTCATTGTACCCGCCACAGGGAGCCTGTCTCTGGGGCACGGAGCTTCAGAGTCCCTGCCCTGTCTCACTGTCCACGCACCATCTCCGGGGTTCACCTCCGCAGTCAGCAGCATCTCAGGCCACGCGTCCACCGAGGCATGATGGGAACTGTAGTCCACAGAGAAAGACATTACAGGGACATTCCAAAGTAGGCTGTACCAGATTTAGCAAATAGCTAGTTTCCATCTATCGTTCCTAATAATTTTAAATTACACTAAATGTGGAAAAAAGAGAGAAAAAGTATTGAGTGAACGCTGTAATGTTTTGTGATAATGGTTTGTGTGTTAGTTACTTAGCAACATAACTCAAAAGGGCAGATTTTAATGAGGTTTCCAGGCAAACCTCAGAAATGGGACAAGAAACAAACTATGATTTTCTAGTTCTTTATCAAATTCATCATGCGTATGATTGACACATGAGGTAAAAAAATCATGACCTTTTCTGTCTAATTAGTGACAGAAGCATGAACCAGTTTCTGTTGAAACTCCAGGACGTGGCCAGTCTTTGTAGCGCTGGTCAGTTCTGTGATGTTTATGAATGTAGTGTGTTGCAGTAGCATGTGTCAGGCTGCAGAGGGCGCTCTCTGCTTACATATACTTTATATTAGCAGCATTGTGTTGTATTGTATCGGTAAAACAGTAGTATTATAATAATCTCAAACTTACCCTGGAGACCTGTTGGGCGTGTTCTCAGTCTTGCTTGGTTCCATGAGCCTCTGCAGCTGCTTCTGCAGACTCATCCTCTCTGATGCCTGTCTGTGAAGAAAAACCAACAGTCAAAAATCTGCAACAGTTTCAACAGGGGCAGTGCATCATGTCTGGTTCAGCTGGATCCAACTGGTCCAGGGTTGCCAGATTTTAAGCAAAAAGCAATAATGTTTTTGATTTGAGAATAAAAGGTCAAAACAAGCAACCCAAGATACACAAAAAAAAGTCTAAAAGGCGACTAGAAAAGTGCAAATGAGATGTGAAATACTTTACACAATAACAGCTCTAAAACAACTACTTGTTTTTAGCATTGGCCACAACTGGATCAATTCACTTGATGATAAATAAAAATGATAAGGAGACTATTTACTTTATCATGTGAAATCTTAAGCAGAAAATAAATGGTATAGTAAGTATCAGGGGTACAATTGCACCTGTAACTCCCTATGCTACCACCAGAGGGAGGAGTAAGAAGATCCTTTCAAGTAAGTAAGTCAGTAATAAATCTTTATTTATATACCGCCTTTCACAGATCAGAGTCACAGAGAGGGGTTTCACTTGAGACATTTCCAAAAATAATTTATGAATAATATTTTTTTGGCAATACTTCTGTTATAATAGACAGAAAACATAATTTTACACAATATGTCTCCTTTAATGTACATGTAAGTTTCTACGAATGATGAATAATGTTCGTAGAAACATTATTATTATTAACACATCAGGAAATGACAAAAACGTTTTTTTAATTCTGTGTCAATGAGTCGATAAAATACACATTTCTTATTTTTATTCAATCTAATTTTTCTAAACTTTTTCTAAGCAGTGAAATGAAGGGATGGACTCACTCGCTCAGCTGCTTGGTCAGCTTCACCACCTGCGAGGCCAGACTCATGCAGGTTTCCACGACGACCAGGTAGCGAGCGCAGGTGGTGTGTCCGTGATGCTCTGCGCACTGCGACGCACGCTCCCCCTGCTGGTTCAACACCGTCACGTTGGAGCCGTACTCCACCAGCGTCTGAGAAAACACATGAATACTTAAGATTCTCTGAGACCAAGACACGGCTGTCAGACAGATGTGTTACTGTCCTTGTGTCTATTGGTTTGCTGCTTTAATTTACTTTAGCTCCTTTACAACACTTTGGAAACTCTTGTATGAAATGAAATGTACTTTTTGAATTAAGTGGATTTGGATTTGAAATAAAAAGTAAAGAAAGAACCAACAAGTGAAGCAGTTTTTCCACTATTTTCGAGAACAGAACACCGGCTTAAAAACCGTAATAACTGGTCCTGGTACAGTCCCGGTCCAGTCTTGATTCAGTCCTGGTCCAGTCCCAGTCCAGTCCTGGTTCAGACCTGTATGCAGGTGAGGTGTCCGTACTGGGCGGCGGTGTGTACTGCTGTGTTGCCGTGGGGATCGGCCTCGTCCAGAGAAATGGCCTGTTCCTGCATGAACTGCAGCAGCCACAGCAGAACCTTCTCCTGGAGAAGAAAACATCAAACTATTCAGATGAAGTTTACTGTATGTTCTGTTCCTTTAATAGATTATGAAAGACATTTTTCAAAACTCATTGTATACATTTTGTATATTTATGATTTTACAAAATGTTTCAATGCTGCCATCTGTCAAATCTCAAACAGAGACAAAAACATCCACATTTTCCATACGGTGAACTGTTTGTGGCTTTTATCTTTTAGTTTACAGGAATATTGGGTTTTAATGTTTTATGTAGATACATTTAAATACAAGTAGTTTGCGGTTGTACCTGTCCGTACTGCGCTGCATAGTGGATGAGACTTGGGAACTCTCTGGTGCAGCTCAGCTCCGCGATGGCCTCCGTCTCACTCACCATCCAGCGCACACACTCCAAGTGCCCGTTCTGCAACACAAACACACGCACACAAACAAACACACATACACACACATACACAAAGGACACACAGGGGTCACACACATGAGTCACACCTCGTAGACAGAGGTTTCAAGCTGGAACATGGAGCCATTTCATGTTTTATTTTTTCATGTAAAACAATTAGGTCCTGGGTCTTTAACTATTTGAATTCTAACTCTCAGACCCTGTAATCATAAATGGAAAGCTCTTTATTTTATCTGCCGATACACACTTCCTGTTTGGCAGCCAATCAGCCTTGAGCTTTCCTCCAACACGGCGGAGCACAGACTAAACTTCCTGTAATTTTTTCACACTTTGGGCGTGTCTGGACATAAGGCACTGTTTTTGTTTTAGTGGTGTCTGAGTAGCATGTCTCAAACTCTGTCTAAACTAAACAGTGCAATAAAACAGCTATAATAACCTGTCAAGGACAAAAACAACAAAAGTCTGGTGGTAGAGCTGACCGCAAAGACTCAGACAGTGGGAGGAGGGAGATCCAGAAAACTTGCCTCGTTTCGATCGATTGAGGAAGCTACATGTAAAACTAAACTAAAACTATCACTAATACACCAATAACATATCAGTGTATCCAGCTCATGTGACATCACAACATTCCAAAGTTTAGTGTAAAATTGTGCTAGTGGGCAGACAAAAAATCTTTGTTGGTAACTATGGTAAATGTTACTTCTTCTATGTCAGCACTTATCAACTATGGTCTAATTATTATAACAATGTCTAACGATGTCTAGAAGTGGTGACAGTATTCAAAAACATATGCTTGATATTTGTCATGGTGAGGACTTTTGATGATTATTTTTACCTGGTTTTATTTTGATAGATGGTTCTTCTGAGTTGTACTTCCTGTCGACTGCCTGCCCCACCTTCTTGTGCTTCACCTGTTTGTCCCTGTGTGTATTTAAACCCTGTGCTCCTCTCTTCTTATTGTTGGTCCATTGTGTTTTTGTCCCTGTTTCTTTCAAGTTTGATTTTGGATTTGGAGTTCTGTTTGTCTGTTTCTTTGTTTAAATCTTGTATTTTAGCAGTATTGCATTTGAATTCCCCTTTCGTTCAGTTGGCCAGTAGAAAGGACTTGCAGATAAAATAAAAAATATGCTGACTTTGTGAATCTAATCACTACCAAACAATGATCTGGGAAAACATATGGATATTTTCTTTTGCAAAATGTCTTTCAAAAATGTCTAGTTTCCCATAGAGTTGTATTGGCACCTGCCCCAACTCAAATCAACCTCTACAACATGAACGCTGCCATTACAAATAAAAATATAAAACAACAATACTTGAATGAATGTTGAAGGAGGATGTGAAATGTTTATTCAGTGTTGTTTTATTATGTATTGTAAATGTTTTTTAAACTGTATGTTTGAAATGTTTTAATGTGAATAGATCCTGTGTAAGGACCACTTGTGGAAGCCAATGGGGATCAAAATATATAAATAAATAAATAGATCTATTGAGGTGCGAAATTCCAGTCCATTGTGGTTTGGACTTCTCGTGTAACCTCGAATGTGAGTCCCTGAGTCTGGTGAAGTCTGTGTTGTGAGGAGAGGACTGGAGCAGGACCTTGACGGCGAGCCCAGCGGGGGTGAGCTGGTCGCGGTTGCGCTCGTTGAGGCCGTCCTCCCCCATCAGCGAGGTGAGGTGCTGCAGACACTCGCTGTGGCCCTGAGACGCCGACACGTGCAGCAGGTTGTTGTTCTGGTCGTCTTTGATCAGCTCCAGGTTATCGGCCGCCAGGTGAGGCTGACACAGACACATTCTGTTTACTACATGGATCAGCAACCGTAAAAGTGGCTCTGGCTTGTATGAGAATCTCCTCTGGTCTCGTGGAGTGAATATATTCCACACATTCAATGTAGTGATGCCACCAACAGAGGGAGCTGTTTTCTCACTGTGGCGAGTCACTTAAGATCAGATTCATTTATTTGCCATTTGCAGTAAAACCACATTGGAATACATTTGCAAAGGCGAGTCACAAGCAATTCAATAGCGCTGGTTTTCCCTATGTCATGCAAATAGATTGGAACAAGGTCTGGTTACATCTCTGTGCATATTGTACTCTCTCGGTGCATTGTGTGTCTTGTCACTGCTTAGTTTATCTCTAGGGTCAGAGCTACCAACACAATAATGACTGTACATAATAATAAATACATATTGGAACAGTTCTTGAGTAATAATATATGTTTATTGTAGCCATACTGTTGGCATGTCCTTTATATCAAAGACAGATTATGTTTTTCAAATGTCATCCTCAAGTTTCTTTGCGGTAATCAGCTAAAAGTCGAGAGCTCCATCTGAGCCATAAGAAAATATTGGATTATTCATTTGATGTTCAGGACATGTATTTTCTCTTTGAAGAAATTTAGTTTTGTCTGTGAGCCTGTGGAAGATTGTTTTCACTTGAAATGATTGACAGAGCCATACAAAAATATTGGATTATTCATATATTCATTAAATAAAATACAGTACACTGTGTTAGGTCTTGGTTCAAAGGTTATATGCATAACTTTAATATGTTTTAATAAACATTGAACTTATCCGGCCTTCGGCTTGTAGCAGTTTTTGAAATTCTTTTTTTTATATTGAGGTGACGAGGTTCCCTGTGACTCACCAGTAGAGAGATCTGTCCCTCTCTCACGATGTTCAGGATGTTCTGGTTCCTCTTGGTCTCCTCGTCCATCTCCGGAGCCGGTCCTCCAGGGGTCCAGGGCTTAGACGCGTCCTGCCTGCTCACGGTGCATCCTGCCTGGGGAAACATCAGACTGGAGCTCGCTGCCTCCACCCTCTGCACGTCCGGATACACACGAGCCGACAGCAGCTTTTCTGCGGTTAGGCAAAAGAGAGATTACATTTGAACTCAAGATGCAAACTGAATGTAAAATGTGGCAGAACAAACAGACTTGACTACCTGAGTGAGCTCCAACATCAGAGAAAGAAGAGAGGGAGGAGGAGCAGCTGAGGGGCCCAGAAACATGCGCGTCTGTGGGGGTGAAGGCGCTGGCAGAGGCCCCTGGGCGGTGGAGGTGATGGAGGTCTGGATCTATGGAGCGAGACTTTCTGAGGTCCGACCATTTCACCGGAGACAAGACGCAGAACTGACAGAAGGGGAGAGACATTAGTTTAATCAGTGGTCACCTATACATATTTTCAAAAACATTATTCAACTTTTCTTGGATTACTCCAAGAATTATACCATTAAACATTTTTTTTAAATATATTTTGAACAACATTAAGAGCTCAAAGGCTGCGTCCAAAAGTCTCTAAATTCATGAACTACATAAATCCTACATATTTTAGTTAACATTAAGTAAATATTGATTTTTACAGTTATATCATCCCCTTTAAGCATGGTTTTTATGTGGGCACCATCTCACCCACTTCACTCTAGTACTCTCCCACCGATACACAGCAGTCCCTCTTTTAATTAGCAATCAATCTGCATTTAAACAGGGGTTTGACGTATCTAACAGCTTCCGCTCGTGCTGCAACCCTCCTCCTCCCCATTACCCCTTCCTTCAGCAGTGGGACTTTCTCCATTTCCTCAGCTCATCACTTGTCCTCATTTCTATTAGAATTCCATATTTATTTACTCATACAAACAAAATAAACCTTAGTTTGGCATATATACTAGATCGCTACTCCATAAACCAAATAAACCCATAAATACTATTCTTAATGTCTGCCAAATCACAGCAAACAACGAACCTCACGCAATAAATGAATACCTCAATAACTAAACTCAATACATTCTAAAACATTCTTTGTCTCCAGATTGTTTTTTAACTTTGTGCCCGTTTTTGTTTCAGGACCCCACGGACTCTTCTCACCGGTGTCTGCGCGCTGCTGCTGCCCAGAGACAGGGCCTCGCTGTGGGGGAGAGCAGAGCCTTTACTCCCCCTCTGGTTCCTCTCCAGAGTCCCAGCTGCACTCGCACTGATGCCTCCTGCGCTCCTCTTGTCCTGCGCAAAGACAATGAACCATGTATTATTTGAAAATGACTTTTAAGGAGGGACTCGATCACAAACAAACTGAAGCAAGACATGATTTTACTCCATCCACTTAACTCGTAATTTCTGTCTTTAATATTCATACATATTTTTCTTAACAGGACTGTTCCCAATGTTTACCGGCTGAAAATTCTCAAAGACTAGTTCACTTTTAACCATTTGCAGCCGTTCAATCCTTCTCCTCACTTTGTTATGCATTCCTGGCATTCCTAATTATTCACCGCTGGGGATTTCAAGATTACAAGGTTGATAGAAGTGAAATTACTTAAAAAATAAATATCAAACTGGAGAACGTAACTTTTTTGTTTCATTAATACATGTTTGTTCCAACAGAAAGAGTTTTTTGAAAGTCTGTTTGTGAACAATCAGACCTCAACAGGCTGCTTACACCTTTTATACGCTGACAGTAGCTGATACTGGCACAATAGAATACAGAGTGAGGGGTGAAAAAGAGAGAGTAAAATATATAAATAATACAACAGAAAATACATGTATGTGAAAACTAGTTATATAAGCAAACCGTTTAAGAGCTTAGGAACTAGTCACATGGGTTTTTATTGCAAGATATGTTTGTGTTGTCAAAGATAGGTATTTTTAACAAAAATGTCATTATGGATCTCCAAGCCACTATAGCTTTGGGCTTTAAAGTCCCATGTGCTCCAGTGTGACTAATGTTTTTTATGGAAACGGCTATAGAATATCAGCGAACAACTCGTCGCTTTTCTACCGTCTTTCCATAATAACCTTTATGATCTAAATATAAAGGGTCAAGAAGGGTCATTTTCACTTCAAAGCAAAGGTAACAGTCTGTAATAAGTCACTGTTTCAAAAAGGTTGCATCCGATTTGTAGAATTCAGTATTTCAGGCAGGAGCCAATGCAACTCTATGGGAATGTAGCAATTTTTTGATAGTGATTACACATAAAACGTCATTTTTCTTATGTCTTAAGGTCTAAAAGATGTTGGCCATGTGTTTTGAATATTGTCCCCACTTCTAGATACGTTTAAGAGGAAATAATTAGACAACACTTCATACAGACTGACAAAGATGATGTAGAAAGGTGTGAGTTTGTTTCATGTTTCAGGTCCCTCCACTATAATGTGAAACTGTATTTGGAACGCTTTGATATAAATGAACGCAACCTATTAAGTGAGTTAAGAGAGAAGACTAGTGAACCAGGTTTAGTGCTTTCACATCTACACAAACAAAGCACATCAGACCCAATGTCCTGGTCCTGACCTGCGTGGCTCTGGGCAGCGTGGTGGACATGGGGCTGGACTTGATGTATGGCACGTCCAGGATCTCGTCCATGTCCAGGTCGTAGTGCTCCAGCTCCCCGAACAGGCTGTGAGCGCCGGCCTTGTGTTTGTGCTCTCCCTGGGCCGCGGAGGCCTGGGAGGACGGGGCTTTCTCTTCACTGGGCTCATCCTTGGGGGCGTCTGGGGCAGCTGTGGCTTTGGCGTCACCGTCGGGTTCAGTGCTGTTGGGGTCCGGCTGGTGCTTCAGAGGAGAGACGCGTTTGACCGGTCGGAACTTACTGTGGACCTCGGACAGAGCGTGAGCAGAGACGCCGCGGCTCCAGGGCACACCAGGGGCTGCGGAGAAACAACAATAGAACATTATTTATATTGGTAAACACATTCATAACTTTGCATTCTTAGACCCCTGATCCCATTTGAGAAGCTCACAGAAAGGAGAGTTTGAGGAAGAAGGAACAGACCATTTAAATGTATATGTGACAGAAGACTGGGGACTTCATCTGCGATACTAAGGAATAGACTTGATCCTCGATACTCGATGCCCATGTTGATGCCACAGTGAAGCAACAATATAGACAAGCTCTCGAATACAAGAGCTTGTCTATATTGGCTCTATAGTCTTTATAGACAGGCTCTCGAATAATTTTATTACCTCCATACTCTTATGTCTCATGTTTCAAAATTAAAATAAAAAATAAGTCTGCCCTTGTTTGTCTGGATTTGTTATTAACACACCTTCAAGTTCTACTGAAGAAAGTGGAAATTGAAGGCACCATTCAGTTATAACCATAGACAGTAACTATTTTAAAACATGTCTAGAAAGTGAAAATAGATCAACTCACTCGTTATTAGGATTATGATGACTAAACTGAAGTGAAGTTTGAAAAAAAACATTTACTATGACTGATGTTATGATTTAGGGCTATACAAAAATAAATTGAATTGTATTAAGTTACAGGTGAAGAAGTTTAACTTTAAATGCGATTATTAAACCATGATTCCTCTGAATTGTAATAAACCATGGCTATAATTGAAACTTACCACTATTGTGCAACGCAAAAACCCAAAAATGACATAAATACAAAAACATCATGATGAACTTTGTGGCAGCTTTGATGTGGCAGATAAACAGAACCATGTTTGATAAACTTATATCCTACGACACAAAAGCTGCTCTGACCTGCTCTGTCATCAGCTCCATCGCTCCTCCTCGACAGCTCTGGGATGTTCTTCAGCGATGACACAGAATACTGAAGAAAACAAGAGAAAAAGAATGCATCAGGGTCTCATTAAAGAAGGAACTAGAGGAAGTTTGTGAAACTGTTTGATCATAAAACAGACGGTGACAGAAGGTTGTGGATGTGTACTGTATCCTTCAAAAGTGATATTGGCAAATAGTTTATTTTCATATTGACTATGACGGCCGTTTGTGCAGGAAGATAGACAAGGAAGTTCCTCTTAGTGAATGTCAATGTGAATGTAATTTAACAATGGCTTCGAAATGTTCAACAAAAGGAAAATGTTGGACATTGTTTTGGCGGAAATTAAACACATTCCTAATTTATACCAAAGAGTTTACTTCATGGTACCACAAGGATTTAAACGCTTCTGATATGGATCAAAATCACGATGCGTTCACTGACCGCAGAATCGTCGGAGAAGTCGATCTCGTCCAGGTCCAAGTATTCAGGCGCCTCCATCTCCTCGCTGCATCCTCAGGGTCCCAGCTGTGAACCGACAATTGTCCCTCACAAAACTGCAGAAGAATCAGAACCAACTTATGATCTCACAGGAAAATCAGAATTCTTATTATTGCCGTTGTAAGTAACAGACACAAACTAGGAATCTGCTTTGGCTCATGGTGCAAACAAGTTATACATAAAATAAAAAATAGAAATCATAGATTTTATACTTTGGAGTCATTGTTCATTTATCTTGTAGTGTGTGTCATTCCTACTCTTCTCTAACCGGTGATGCAACACTGAAATTTCCCCACTGTGGGATGAATTAAGGATCTCTTCATCTTAATCTAATATACAAGTGCTCACTAAGGAAAAACACAATAGACATTTAACAGTACAGGTTAAAGTGACAGTAGTGACAAAGGGCAGGGGTTAGTTAAACTATTATACAATACTGAAATTCCTATTTTCTGTGCGATAAAACATGTCTGAACACACGACGCGTTGTTTACGATGTGTTTACATTCTTCGACGCACATGCAGCTCTGTGCTCATGTGTTTAGGGAGTGTAGCAACTTTACTTTTGCGCAAAAACAATGAAACTGCAGTGTCGAATAAACAGCCTCCAGACTTTGGTAAAGTAACATCTACTTTGCATTTGATTTCAACAGAGCGCTTACTGTTTTCCACAGTCACTTAAATGCAAGGTTTTACAATCAAAGCAAAACAAACTTAGTCTGCAGCAGAGGGACTGTGTGTACGGTAATATACACATCAATTTTATACTTACTTCTTTATTATGCTAAAGTCAGATATTTTGAACGGTATTCTTGCTTCTTAATTATGCTAAAGCTGGAGATGTTATTTTATTTTTAGTGTAGAGCAATGTTCATGTTAATTTATCTGATGTTGTGTGCTCCTCATTCCTACAATTCTGTAACCGGTGATGCAACACTGAAACATCCCACTGTGGGACGAATAAAGCATCTCCTCTTCTTAATCTTGTATATCCAGCCTTTTCATGTCCGATACTGATACTTTCAAAGCATCAATATCTACCGATATATGATATCAGCACGTATCGGCAGAAAAAGGTATTTCATCCTGAAGTCAATGTTTGTGAGTAAAACATTCTGGGTTAATATCAGCTGGTAAATGGTCTAATTATGAATTAAAAGGCAGCACTGATATCCAACACATGCATTGTTCTTTTTTATAAGAGTGGTGCTGAGTCCTGGTCTAATCCAGGTCAAGTCCTGCACTAAAGAATCCAGGCCTCAGATTCCGGTGCTCTCTGTGTCAGGGAGAATTCCTCTGGTGTAAAAACAGGTCGAAGAGTTAAAGCTCTTTTGTTAAAGACTTTGAAAACACTGTGACACGACTCTTTCCCCAGTTTAGTAAAAACAACTGTGATATCTCAAAACAAATGGACAAAAAATGAACAGATATCTGAGTAAAATCATTTCAAACCTCTGCATGTACCCTGGTGTAATGGATTCATAAATAAATTGTATTGTGTCAAAATGATCTCAGTTTAGTGACAGCTGTTTCATACCAAGTTTAGGCTTCATGGTTTATTGTTGTCTACATTTAAGGACATTTATTAACATTTATTAACATCCCGCTCCCTGTGGACCAATAGCTAATATGTTGTTATTATTGCCTGCTGTTGTGATTTAGAGCTGTACAAAAACACATTCAAATGGATCGAATTGAAAGCTGGAGTACCTCACTTTTTCTGTCCTGACACAAATAGTGTTGCATAAATAAAATGTGAACACATCAGACCACAACATGCTGTGTGCTGTGTGAATTTGCTGTGAAAAAAAAACTGTGACAGAGGCCATAAAGACATGCATGTGAAAACTATAGAACCCAACTGTTTGGAGAGCGAGGAACTTGGTAGATGTTCAATGTTCTTATTGTTTGAAAGTCACCCCAGGTTTACCTAATACCCAATAGATTTAAGTTTTAAGACTTTCTTCAATGTACTACAATTTTACAAACGTGCACAAAGGTGTATTTTCACCTGGCAATTAAAGTTTTTAGGATTTTTAGGGAAAAAGCCTGCAGTACAAGTGTATGGTTTGGAGTATGTCCTTCTGATGTCTATGCGCAAATGGGACATTTTACACAAATGTCTAGTAGATTCAATCAAAATCATGGTTTTGAGCAGATTTGGGTATTTTCCATTTAGAGCGCAAACATTCTTTGCCTTTAAGGAGCTTATCATAAATGGTCAACATTAATGCAGTAAACAATTTAACATGACATTTACCCACAAAAAACATCAGCATATATGACCAAAACACAATGTCACTAACCCTGTAATTAACCAAGCATCGGGTAGCTGTTCTCTACTTTCTACAACAACAGCCATTTAAGGTCTATTTTCTCCTGCAAATTGGATAAATGTCACTTGCGCATCCGCATGCATTATTACGCACGGGAAATATAAAAAAACACGGCTTGAGACTTACTTTTATGTAATTTACAGTCATTTCCATCCTCAAAAAAAATATCATGAAAACACTACTTCATTTCTACACAAGGATCTTTTTTCAAAACGCGTTAAAAGTGAGAGTAAACAAGATTAGCCAAATTAGTAACACCCAATTTAATCCTATGTGGATGCCAGCTGGAGCTAATGCTAACGTAGAAGCTAAGTGTCTAGCGTGGAAAAAACAGATCAAAAGAGGAAAGGATTCACAAGAAAAACACTGTGGCTATTAGAAAAGGCTTGATTCTATGTGTGTAGTGCGTTAGCGTGGCTGTACCTGGGAGGAAAAGCGTAAATCCGAAGGAGAAAGTGGTGTTTGGGGAGCAGATGGTTAGCCTGGCACCGCTAGCCGACTCCAGCGTCTCTCCTTGGCGTCAGTCCGCGTCAGTCCGCTTCTGTGCGCGTCAGTCCGCCCTGGTTTGTTGGATTCTATTTAACGCGTTTTCACTGTTCGCCCCACGTCTGTTCCCTTCTTTTCGCGTATTCTCACTCTTGAATGAATCTGATATACGCCTCTTTCTTGGATACAATGGTGCGCGTCTCTTGGCTTTGGAACGCGTCGCTCCGGTGCGTCTCGCTGCTCGCTTCTGTCTCTCCACAAAGACTGTTGTTCAGAGAGAGGAAAGGAACTCTGCTTGATCTTATCCCACCACAACATGGGTTTTTCCTCTTTCATCCTGGTTCGTTATGGTTTGAATAGCGCAATGAGTAAAGAATCTTGATAGGCTTTTATTTTTGATGAAAGAATTCTATTTTAACAACATTTTAGTACAGTACACTACACCCCCACCCCCCATGCCTGGTTATATATGATATTTACAGTCTATGGTTATATCCACAACCGGTACTACTAGTGTTTGAATGTAGACATTACACAAACAATATGCTTACGTGGTGCCTGAATTTAAAAGAATGTGAAAACTGCTGCAATAGTTGACAGTAATCTGTTTTGCTTACATCTTACTCCTATTTTTTTGAATATATTAATGGCCGGTGGGGTCAAAAACTTCAAATTATTCTGATCAGTATTGATGAACAAACTTATTTATGATTAAAACAACACAATAATAAATAGCCCGTATTCTATGTATTGAGAAAATCTGTACATCTGTCAGTATAAAACATCTGTTACTATGTTACTAAGTTTTTATTTGCCTTAATTCAATGTTGATGTTCATTCTTCAGATCCATAAACTGTGTATACACTTCTTTTCCTTTCAGATCCAAACATTTGAGGTTACGTCTTGGTTCAGGCAGAGCATCTGTCCAATAGATGATCTGTGCAGTCCCGTTATTTTTTTTCCCGTTGAACCAATACCTCCTTAATATTTACAGTCAATGATACCCCCATGCGTTGGACCCATAGAGCTATCCATGGTTACTAGACCTCATAATGATATTGAAAACCATAACTGGGCTAAACATATTCATAGTATATATTATATTTGTCGAATCTAACACTAAATTACTACATTGGATTTATTTAATTGCACTTTTTAATGGTCTGTTGGTGAATATTGCATGATTCAACAGATCCTTTTTGACTCTTATCTAACTTCAAACGTTATTTACACCGCAACTTAAAAGAAACTAAATAACAGAGTAGCTGTAAGTTGTAGCCTGAAGTTTACTCATTACTCATTTTTTTAATTGTATTTTTTAAGGTTAAAGATGCATTTCATATTTTACAATAGCAAAATTAGAAGTTTTAGAAATAGATGCATGTCTTTTTATCGGCTCAACAGCGTCCCCATGTGGAAGTTACCAGTTTCAGACCACACCAAAACAATTAATTCATCTTTTATTAGGAATGAGACAAAAAAACATACTATATCATTATTATTATTATTGCTCAAATCATCTACAGCACCAGGCGCACAGGCCAAATCTTTTAAAACAAACTATTATAATCAAAGAGTGCTAAAAATCACATCTGTAAAAATGCCCAAACTTGTAAATGCGAAAAATATTAAATTAGAAGTTTCAGCGTTGGACGGAAGACTTCTCTCAGAAACGTCAGTGTCTGTAAAAAACAAATGAAGCACAAATGAAACAAGGGCTCAAATGAACTGTGACATCACAATTATAAACAGAATGAAACAATGAAGTCAGATCAACAGTGTCGCAGTGGAAGTATAAATAGTATAAATAGCTGTAGCACTAGTAGCCGTGTTCGCAGTAGTACATTGTGGCGTTGCTGTATGAAAAGTGCAGTGCCGGTCCTAGTCTTCAGGGGGGCTGAGGCGAAATGTGTTTCAGGGGCCCCACTCCACTCACTCAGGCTGGTAAAGAGGTTAAGATGTTCACCTCACTTTATAACAATGAACGTGGAGAGAAAAACAGCCTTTAGATCCTGATGTTTGGACTTAACAGGAAGATTTTTAGACACATGAAATGAAAAGAGTGCCATTTACTTCAGGGGAAAATGTCCTAAATAGCAGATTAGTTTCTGATTACCAATATTTTATTACTAATATTAAAAAAAAAAAGTTTAGGGAGGAACTATGGAAGGGGAAATGGACATGAGGGGTTTGGGCTGGCACCAGTTATCATTTATCAATTATAGATTTGATGAGTTTTAATGCTATCTTGTCAGCTAAAGTGCGAATCACATATATTGTCATTTTTGAGGCATTCTTTGTTTAGACTGTTTATTGGGGAGGGTTGGCCCTGAATTTGTGATTTATGAATAAAGTAATAGCAATAGTAGTAGCAGCAATAGTTGTCGTATAATTAAGTAACAGTAGCAACTACCACAAAATATCTCCGCAAAAAATCTAATTTGTTCCCTGACCCCTTTCAGAGATTTCAGAGCAAACTCCAATGAACCCATGATGAAAGTAGCAGTAGCAATAGTAATAGTCGTAATAGTATTTGCAGTGGTAGTAGTAGTAATTGCGTAAATGCATTTGACCCATCCTGATGCCATGAAGGCTTACATCAGGAGCAGTGGTCGCCGTAGTAACGGCGCCCTGGAACCCATCTCCAGATGTTGTTGCTCAGCTTGGTCAGAACTACCAGAGCTGGAGGATTTAACCTAGTGAGCATGTTTTTAGTGGTGGGGGAAACCGGAGTACCCCGAGGAAACCTACGCAGGGACGGGGAGAACAGAAAGACCCTGTTGCTGAGAGGCGAGAGTGCTATCCACTCAGCCACCGTGCCGTAGTAGTAGTAGAAGTATTTTCACTGGTAGTAGTGTGATGGCAGTAGTGGTATTTGCAGGAGTCTTATTAGTAATTGCAGGAGTAGTTTGAGTACTTTCTTACAATGTTGTAATACAGCTGGACAAAAGGACGCTCTTCCCGTGATGGTGGTAGTAGTATTAGTAGTAGTAGTAGTAGTAGTATTTAGTATTATTAGTGTCTTACGATGTGGTAGTGCAGCCGGAGACATGTGCGCTCGTCCCGGTGTACTGCACGTCACAGCGGGCCACGTTGTTGTTGTAGTTTGACTCTGGGACTCTGTGTTGAGGGTTCACCGTCACCTGGAGAAAGTACCAGAATACTTCAAATGGATACTGCTACAGAATACTTCTACTTCAACTGTACTTGACTTGGATCTGGAGAAGAATCATGACATGTACATTCTGTCCTGGACATTTCTGAACCACGGCAAATTATTGAAGTAACTATTATCTCTCTATTCTCCAAGACTTTACTCAACACTCAAATGGAAGATTATTTTTTTTCCTGAAGAATAAGGATGATAAGATCTGAGAGCGTTTCAATCTACACTAATGAATAAGCAGTACTGGACATTTTCAAAATCACAGTGGTCAATAAAATAAAAAATAAATAAATACATAAAAATAAATAAAATAAAATAAAATAAATACAATAAATAAAATAAATAAAATAAATAAAATAAATAAAATAAATAAAATAAATAAAATAAATAAAATAAAAACCTTGAGGACGTATTTTCCCGGAGACACGTCGGTGATGTCGATCCACTGACAGTCGATGTCTGCACTGTACGTGTCATAACAGCCTGGACTCAGACCCTGGGACAGAGGAAACTCGAGATCAGGTTCAGTCCTAGTTTAGTACTGCCCAGTCCTGGTTCCAGACCTGCTTCACGGGTCTAGTCCTGGTCCAGTCCTGCTTCACTGGTCCAGTCCTGCTTCCCTAGTCCAGCCCTGGTCCAGCCCAGGTTCAGTCCAGGTTCAGTCCAGGTCCAGGTCTGGTCCAGTCCTGATTCAGTGTTTGAGCCCTGGTGCAGTTCTGATCCAGTCCAGGTTCAATCCAGGTTCAGTCAAGGTCCAGTCCTGGTCCAGCCCTGGTCCAGTCCTGGTCAATCCCTGGTGCAGTGGAGCTCACCTGTGTGTGGGAGGTGCAGGCGTACCTGCGGTAGTACCCCGGGTCACAGGACGTGTCTTCCAGGCAGAACGAGGCCTTGTGTCCCTCGGCCACGGCCCGCTGGTCCTGGTCCAGGAGCTCATACAAACTGAACTCATCCATACTGTGGAAGTGACTGAGGACAGAGAGGCACGGACAAATTTCACTTTAGGATGAGATTAGTTAAACCTTTATTCATCATTGTTGCGCACATTGTCTCAGAATGAAAGGAGAAAATAAGAGCACACATCAAACAGGATCTATTATTTAAGAGAATAGATAATAAAATAATAAGATAATAAAGTAAATCTCTGGAGGTATAATTGCAGCGCTGCTAACTGTACACTGTAGTTTTCAGCATCATCAGGTTTACTTTTTACTTAAATCAACATCAATTAGATTTTAAAAAGAAAAATAACAAACAGAAATTTATTCCATCTTTTCTCTTTGCAGGCCGTGCTTTTAATATTCTACGATATTCAGATTAATATGGGTCATTTCTCCAGCGAGTCTGAAGCCCAGGACCTTTGGCCAGAGTCAAAGGTTTATTCTCCTCATTGCAAGTCGTGCACAGAGCCACTGGGCCCAAACCGAGACCAGGGCAGACCAGGCAACACAGACTGGTCTTAGACTGAGACCAGACCTGACATTTTGATATAATACTGATAAGAGATAGTTACTGATGACAGGAGTGCCACTCCCAGGCATAGCGGGGTTTGGACGGCAGGAAGTCGGAGGTGCCCTGGTTCTTGACCCTCTGTGTGAACCTCAGCAGGACTCTGGTGTCGTAGTCCTGAGCGTAATGAGCAGAACTGGACAAAGAAAAGGAGAAGGACGGGAACAAAGTATATTTAGGGCTGTAGTCCTGAGCTCCTTCTTCACAACAGCATCACTGCAGACGCTGCAGTCTGTCTGTTCCCTTTACTCTCTATTCTGTGTCAACCTGATTCTCTGTAACGGGTGCCTTTTGGGTCCTCAGAATTTAAAAAAATGACCAAAAATGTATGCATTTCTGAACATTGCATCTGACAAAGGAGTATTTGAACCTCTGGTAAAATACTGTTTCCCACCTTAGAAATTAAATACCAAATATTACTAGGAATTTGCCATTCATTTTGTTACGGGGTTGAGTTGAAGGTTTTAGCTAAAAGTAGCCATATCTCCCATGTTAGCAAACATGTTCTTACCACATGGCATTTGGAAATCATGAAATTGATACACTTTTCCACACAGTTGTCTGATGCTTCCTAAACAATATCTAAATATTAAATATCTAAATATTGTTGATGTCAATCTCACAGCAACAAAAATGAAATACGGTTAAAAATGTATGCCAATAATTACTTCTCTTCAAAGCATGACCTTGAAAAGACTTGAGTAAGTAACTTTGTGAAGGTTGAGTGGGTTGGACTGAACAATTATTTTCAAAAAGGGTGGAAAATGCCACGCCGTTATGGGGTTGAACAAACTTGAGGGACATGATTACAAAGTACCATTTCATGAAAAAAAACCATTAATTCTTTTCAGTTTTATTTTATTTTAGTTAGAGCAGACAGGTAAACGATTATATTAGCAGAAAAAATGGGGTTAATGATATGTTTTAGATTGAATGAAAAAGTAACTTTAGTCACTGGGGACATTTTCCTCTGCCATCTGATACTCAGCAACCCATAAAAATGTGAATAATATATTTTTTTCAAATATTTTCTTGTGCTCTATGCAAAAACACATGTTTCTTTCTGTTTCTTGGTTAAAATTCATTTTATTGGTAACTTTATTTTTTAATCTTTGCGTTAAACCTCTGGGACACAAAAGGCATCGGTTACAGAGAATGACCCATGTAGCGCAGATATTTTATCCAAAGTCTTAGTCCTGTTACAGGTGTGTGCTGATCTGTGTTGTGTTTGTGACTCACGATGCGAGGCAGTTCTCCTCGGCTGCACAGCGCAGGTTGTACATGGGGACCCTCTGGATGTAGGAGCCACTCTGCAGGTAGGTCGGGTCTGGGACCAGGTCTGGGAGGCCTAAGACAAGTCACACTGTTACTCTGAGGACTATCCACATAGATGTCATACAATTATCTCAATTCTTTTAAAAACTCAATAACATCTAGTTCGCCCTGGTCTAGACCTGGTTTGGACCTGGTCTAGACCTGGGTCTTGTTCTACTTACAATATTATACTTGTTACAGGTCTGGGTCATATTTTTCCTATACAACATGGTTTGTCGTTTTACAATTGAGTACATTCTTGATCAGAGCTGGTGCACATTAGTCTACAGTAGGCAGTCGCTGTGAGGATAATTGTCTCATAAAAACAGGTATGTGTTTGATGACTGAAATTGAGCCTGAAGAACAGGATTCAGAAGGAATTTCAGAAAATATCAAAATGCTTTTATCGTTTGCCGATAAACAGAAAACAAATGCATGGCTTTGTTTCGCTGTCGTGGCGGTGTGTATGGACGGATTTTCTTCAGTTTATAATTGTTATATTTGAAAGAAAAGATGACGACACAAGTTACAAAAGATGAAAGACCCACAAAGCTGCAGGAGAATGTGTCTCCAGTTTAAACATAGAGATTAAGTGGTTAGCCATGCTTCTAAATCAGGGGTGGGCAATTATTTTTACCTGGGGGCCACAATGGGATATCACCATGTTGTGGAGGGTCGGACCCTCAAATCTATAATTTACAAAAATAATTATGAGGCCGTATTTTAATTATGATATGCTGCTTTTTTATTTTTAGTTCATTTATCTACTGTACATAGTGAACTAGCACTGAGCCGTAGATATGGTAGAAATGTAAAAGGGGCCGCATCTGGCCCCCGAGGCAAAGTTTGCTAAATCTAAATAATGTGTTTTACAGCCAAGGATTATCTACAATCATGAAGATGTCGATAATCATAGTTCACATTTGAACCGGAGCAAACGTGTAGCGTCTCTAAAGACCAGACCTCGGACTGGGGCCGGTCCACACGCTCCTTGGACCAATCACAAACCACAGAGTAACACAAGTCTCTCTGAAGCAACGGTTAAAACCTTCGTAACGACGCCGTCAAACGTTTGAGGCACTTTCTCTCAGAGCTGTTTCCTCCAGCTCTGATTTTACTGCAGCTTTTCCAAATAAAACTCTCTGAAGTTTTACAATTTCTACACCTGCTCCTGATCATATACACACACTCACACACACACACGCACTCTTTCACGCACAGATGCACACACACACACACAGTACAATTGTGACCAATGTTCAAATCAGTTAAATCCTACACATGATTCATCTAAGTCTGCAGGTCTTGATCACTCTTTTTAATGTACTGTGAATATTTATGATGTTAGTACCTTCTAGGACTGTTTCTTTCTCGGTCTTTGTGTGTATGAACTGTGCTATAAAAATAAACTTGCCTTCTCTTCTCTCCCTCTAGTACACACATCTACACTTTACACCGCAGTGACATTTATTAAAAATGTTATATAATCTGCCCCATTTCATTATTGCATTTGAAATAAAGTCCTCCGTGATAACTACTGCTGTGTTTTGGGCTGTGCAAGACTACATTGAATTGAATTGAATAGAAATAGAGATCTTTAAAGACAGGTGATGACAAATTTTGAAAGGAAATTCTCAAAAATGTGGAGGGAATAACTTTTCTCAACACACTTTTTAAACATCTAACAAATTGCCCCTGGTGGGATGAATAAAGTCTGAATCTGACGCTCAACTCATCACCTGCCAACTCCCTTTTGGGCTATTGTTTTTTCTGCGCTTCTCTTTTGCATGATTGATTGTGTATCTTATAGATGCCCAAATAAACACTTGAATTCATAAAAAAAAAAAAATAATAATAATCTGATGGCAGGTGAGGTATACCGTGCTGGTGGTAGCTGGTGCCGTAGCCGTGCCGGGGCGTGGCGCGGTGTCTTGGGCGGTAGTAGGAGTTGTAGTAGTTGTACCAGGGATAGTAGTTGGAGTTTTTGTATGGATTGTGCGGATCGTCTCCAGCCATCCCATCTGCATTGGCGTACTGCTCTGGCCCCTGCGTCCGCCTCCGACTCGCCTCTGCCCGGATCTGGCTGGTGCCGCTGGAGGCTGGGACGCGGATCCCGGCGTGTGTGTCGTTTGCATTCGCGCTGGCACCGCCGACCACCACCATCACACTGGGGCCGGTGCTGTTCTGGGGGACCCTGGAGCGTCCCGGCCGGTACTGGGGTCCCCGGCCTCGGAGGCTGAAGACCTGCCCGTTATGTCGCCAGGTGAAGTCCCCCTGCGCGCCCCCTTCAGGCAGCAGAGGGGCGGTGCAGGCCAGGAGCAGCAGCAGCGCGTCCACACACAGCTGCTTCATCCTGAGCTGTGAGGCTGAGGAGCGAGTGTGGAGGAGAGAGAAGAGAGGAGAGGACCACAGCCTGCAGCCGAGGGAGGAGTCACCACTCACAGGGGGGATCATAACCAGCTCACTAAAGCAGGGGTTTCTCCAGAAGTAAAAACAGATGCAGGTTTCATACCAGTGCATCCGGAAAGTATTCACAGCGCTTCAATTTTTTCACATTTTGTTATGTTACAGCCTTATTCCAAAATTGATTAAATTCATTATTTTTCCCCTAAAATTCTACACATAAAACCCCATAATGACAACGTGAAAACCATTTTTTTTGGAGATTTTTTGGAACTGGGAGACTAGTCAAGATAGAGGGAAAGATGAATGCAGCAATGTACAGAGACATTCTGGATGAAAACCTGCTCCAGAGCGCTCTTGACCTCAGACTGGGGCGACGTTCTTTCAACAGGACAACGACCCTAAGCACACAGCCAAAATAACAAAGAAGTGGCTTCAGGACAATTCTGTGAATGTCCTTGAGTGGCTCAGTCAGAGCCCAGACTTGAATCCAATTGAACATCTCTGGAGAGATCTGAAAATGGCTGTGCACCGACACTCCCCATCCAACATGATGGAGCTTGAGAGGTGCTGCAAAGAGACAGGTGTGCCAAGCTTGTGGCATCATAGTCAAAAAGACTTGAGGCTGTAATCGCTGCCAAAGGTGCATCAACAAAGTATTAAGCAAAGGCTGTGAATACTTATGTACATTTGGTTTCTTATATTTTTTATTTTTAATAAATTTGCAAGAATCTCAGAAAAACTGTTTTCATGTTGTGTTGTGTGTAGAATTGTGAGGAAAAAAATAATTGAATCAATTTTGGAATAAGGCTGTAACATAAGAAAATGTGGAAAAAGTGAAGCGCTGTGAATACTTTCTGAATGCACTGTATATGAAATAACACATTGATGACTCGCACTATAATTATCACTAGGTATCAGAGTGATTAGAAATGAAAACAGTTTCTGCAAAGTATCGAAATGTTGTATATTTTGGAAGTCTCAAACTCAATTTGGGGTTCACATGGAGCAAACAGATCTATGCACTTGCACCAATGAAACTGCTCATTGCTCATGCCATTCTTTCTTTGCACACACAGTTTAGCTCCTGGACTGGTTAACATATTTTTCAAACTCTTTTCTTTATTTATAAAATTAGCTTTAAAATGATGTATAACAGACTTTCAGTTTCGAGCCGCACTGACAGTAATCTGGCCACCAGGGGGCCATAAAAGAGCCTTATGTTTGGGACCACTGCGCTAGAACAAAAGCTCAATTCATATAACACTTTTTGAATGATTTTTCTTCATTTAAATGATCCACTAAAACTGCATAAAGACGGTAATCAACGACACAAAAAGAAGCCCAGGGAGTGTGTTCTTGTTACGCTGAGTTTGGACGCAGCGTTTGTGGTTTGACTCTGTCTCTGAGGCCACAGCTGGACGAGGTTGAGCTCCTACAGAGATTCTGAGACAATGTGTGAGAAAAGAGGAAAGAGAAAAGGATGAAGTACTATAATGTCTGTCTTTATTTTCAAATATACTCAAACATTGATCCAAAATTTATTCAAGCTGGGGCACCTAACTTTCTTGTTCCATAAATGATAGAAAGAAGAGTTTGTAATCATACTTTTATCATTTTTATTAGAAAACATGTTATCTTTTTCATATGTGTAAGAAACACCCTCTCGTCGTTTTCAATATTCTGTCTGAAAAAGCCAAACTAACAATGTGAAGGACTCATGAGCGGTTCCAGAACTAGTATACAGCATTTATTGCTTCTTTATTACTCTAAAGATATAGATTTTATTCTATATATTGTGCCATACTTTTCTCCAAAATTTGGTCTAAATTCAGCCAAATGGTGGCGTCCATCAGAGGCACAACATTATGGAACACTTTGCCGGAACACGGAACAAAACTGTGGGACCCAGCTAACATTTAAAGGAGTCCTGAGACATTGGTTGATATTAAACCAGTCACGCTCCCATAGATAATCTGCTCTTCCTTGGACTTTCGCTTTCTCTTTCTCTTTTCAATTCTTTATGTTGTGCTTGTCGACTTTTTGTTTGTACTTTTTCCTGACTGTGTGTTTTTGTGTTTCTAGGACAATGGATGCAATTTAGCGATTGTGCTAATCCCAGCATATTTATGTTGACTCTGTTTGCAGACACATTGATTAATATGGACTGTCCTAAATTCAAATAAATAAATAAATACTTAATGTTCACTTATTAGATCTTGTGCTGTGTGCCCTTAATTCCTAGTATTCTGTAACCGGTGATGCAACGCTCAAATATCCCACTGTGGAACAATTAAAGGATCTCTTCATCTTAATCTCAATTCAGAAAAGTCTAAATGGGTGAACAAGGCTCGCTTCAGGAGAACATACTTTAAATTACACTAATCACAACTTTGAATGTGTAAATGATAAAACAAGGCTGAAAGCTGTGTATCCTTCCCTGTTCCTCCCTGCGGTCCACTACACTTTCCCTTTTTCCATCCAGGTATCATGTCTTTGTGCTCGCGTCCTGTTTGGTCTGATTTTCTCCGTATGACAGCAGTTTGTTTGTGTTTTTACAGCAGCGACTCAGACCTGCTGAGACCAGAACAGCCGCCACCCACGCTCTGCTTAGACCCACAAATACCTCCACTTAGACACAACTGACTATGGTTATCACGGTTATACCCAAGTCACTTCAAAATGTGGGAACAGTGCAATTATTCAGCGGTCGAAGAAGCGAAGTACCCGTCACTGATTTAGGCTACTCATGTTAGTGCAACTTTGTGGACTTGATATGAGACGAAGCTGAGAGAAATGTGGATGAAATAGTGAAAAAAGGGCATGTTAAGGTTTTTTATGATAATATTTTTTTGCATTTTTTCCAGTGATTTTAAAGGATATTTTTTTTACTGGATAATTCATAAAGTACAAACAAAATATGGTTATATCTGTTGATCTCCTTCGGTTTTGACTAGAAATACTCAATTGGAGAGCAAAAATAAGATCGTTTTAAGGTTATAAGAGTCTATGAAAAGCCACAAAAGCGAAACGATTGCTTCCAGGCTGTTATTCTTTCCCACGTTGTACATTTTCTCACAACATTCTAAGTGACATTCTTACAAGTTATTTGTGGCCTCCCTTTTCAGCAGGTAAAATGTGGGATTTTGGTACATCTAGTTATAATTAGATTTCAACATCGACATCTCATAGTGTTATTAAAGAGAACAAACACATTCTGTCTGGGATCACACGTCCCTGTGTCGCCTCCTCTTTTGTCTGATGTTTCTACTCCGTCCTTTGTGTTCAGAGTTTAATGCATTGAACCTAAAGCAATGTCTTTAATGTCTTCTGCTAATAAAGCCGTCCTAAACCTGTGAACCATCAAACTGTCCCAGAGGAGGAAGGACCAGAGGCGACGGAACCACAGCATCCTCTGCACCTCTCCTCAGACTGTGAACACCTGATCCACCTTTAAACTGAGGAAATGTTGAATTCAGATTTCTAAAGTTTAACATTTTTAAAGACTGAATCATTACTTCAAGAGGATAGTGGAACATTAAAAGTGGTGGAGATTGCATCACAGAGGGCATCACTGAGTTTGTGAATCTGAGAGAACGGTCAGAGGATGTACTGGTACCATCTGTGACGGCAGCCTTGCTTCTGTCAGTCTGCCTCAGGGCAGACAGTTCTGCAGAGTAAGTTAAAGTAGCAATATGTAAGATTTTCATGTCAAGTCATCATTAAATGGCCCTAATCGGTCAAAAGGCATTAATAAACCATGCTCTTTTCAAATACTTCTTTAACTGACAATAGAGGTGTTTGAATTTCAAAATTAGTTTTACAGCCCCCAAATCTTGTTGATTTCATTTTAATGTTCCGCCCTCCACCGTTTCACCAATCAGAAAGTCCAAGATCCGGTTTGCCAGGACTCACCACGTCGAGTTAATCTCACTGGTAAAGTAACATGTGGCCGCAGAACTAAAAAAGGTCTTGTTATGATTCTCAAATCATTAAAGACAAAACAAGGAATAAAACCAGGATTTCTATCGGGATTTTGTAAAAAAGGTGTTGGTTAAAGATTTGTTGTTGACAAAACTCTAACATTAAAAAGGTCCCAGCTGGATACGTCTGCATATCTGGCAACCTGAGTCAGGGAGAGTGGGAGAGGTGGCAGTACCCCTTTTCGCCAGATTTCTTAAAAACATGTGTGTCCTGGTACCTGTGTGTTTTATATGTTTGATGTATTAGAAAAGTTTAAAAGAATTTGTAAAGAATTAATTAAAAAAAATATGTTTTGGAAATTCCTGGAATTTTGAATAGGTAATATTACTTTCAGAACCCACATTCACTAATATTGCAATAGAATGCATCAGAAACTAAAGGTAACTCCCACATCGAAGTCTAATTATAAATATGTGTGTAACTAATTTCCCACTTGGTCGCTGAGCTCGAGTCTAACCCATGACGCCAGAGCCTTCAGCTGCAGCCTGAGCATGTGGTGCTCATAGAGGTGTGTCTTTATTAACAGTGTTTAAGAAGCAGATAATGTCGCTGCTGCTGCCTCAGGCTCTGCCCGCGTGCCTTTGAGCAGCACACACGCAGGGTTGTGCTGAAGCAGAGCTGTAAAGCCCAGACTCAGAGGAAAATCTGATCCTCCGTCTGCTTTTACTGCATCATTAACTTCAAACAGAGACCCTAACGAGGACCTGTCACCATGGAGACGCATATGTACGCCACAGCAGGGTTTGGACCTGGACTGAACCAGGACTGAGCCAGGTCTGAACCAGGACTGAAACTAGTTTAAAAGTAAAAGGAATAATTTTGTGAATAGTTTTTGTTTTAACAAAGGCTTGACTCAGCAGCTCAACATTTCACCAAACACTGATCTTCACGTTGTCTGTGAGACGCTGTCAGATTATCTATGTATTACAAAAGAAAAAAAAAATCATATACATGAAGAAAGACAG